CAGGAAGCGGGCTGAGGCTCTGCGTGGAGGAGGCCACCTGACCTCCCAGCACATGTGCTCGAGGACGGGGAACGGAGACACGGCCCCCATCGGACCACCCGCAGGCCCGGCCGGGCTCCTCTCAGCACCGACGTGCTGGGCTCTCACTCCCTCCAGCATCTCACGCAGCTCGGTCACAATCAATACTCCCCCCCCACCCCACCCCCCCCGCGCCCCCCATCCCGCGCCTCCTCCGAGCCAGAGGCATGACTAACCTGCCGCTGAAGCCGGCCGTCGGGGACACTGAGTCACCCCTGGTGCCTCCGGTGCAATCGGATGAATCAAGGCAGCAGGTCGGGCGGACATTACTCAGTCGCTCGCGGGGCCTGACGCATCCCCTGCGATGACGTCAGATCTGAGACTCCCTTTGGCAGCTCATCCTTCGCTGCGAAGTGGCTTCCAAGTCACAGGAAACGGCTGGAAAGTGACGCCTGAGGGACGTGCAGCCGTGTGCGCACCAGTGCCGCCGAGTGAGGCCGTTCCAAGCGGACGCGGGACTCGTTCCCAGCACCTGACAAAGACCCAGGCCCACCGACCGCGCTCTCATCCCTGGGAACGCAGCCATCTCCCCGTGTGGTCACCCGGTTCAGGGAGGGTGCTGGGCACACAGTCCCGCAGCGCAGGGACCCGAGCACCCAGGGACCTCCGGTCTATAGCCAACCCGTCCAGAGCACCGGGACCCCTTGGGTTTAGGGAAGGAGTGGAAAGACCCAGGTGGCCTGGCCACACGCACCCCAATGGGGGAGGAGGGAGGGCAGGATTGGACCTGCAACCCAGGTACGTGCCCTTGACCAGGAATTGAACCTGTGACCCTACAGTGTGCAGGCCAATGCTCTAACCACTGAGCAACGCTGGCCAGGGCTGCCCTATCCTTATTTCCTATGTGTGGGCACGCATTCTCTTCCTCCTGGTGAGTTATACCTAGTCATTAGGCTCCTAACTTATTGGGGAGGCGTGTCCCTAAAGGGATCGGCCCCCCCGCCCCGCCCCCTCCAGTGATGTGGGGTCGTGGAGGGATGTCAGTGCCGCAAACAAACAGCCCAGCAGCCCGGCCCCCGTGGCGGCCGCACTGAGCAGCCAGGGACCTGGGGAGGCAGCCCTGGCGGCACTGGCAGGGCTTTTCCAGAAGGAAGAGATCGTTCCTTAAACCACGACCCTGGCAGCAGGCACCAGGGGCACCTTGGCGTCCACACCTGGTTGCCGCCACCGAGAAGGAATGTGAACAGAGTCGGGGCTGCATGTTCTTCCCGCTCAGAACCGGCCCGGAGCTGGGGGCACCCGCCCCGCGGGCACGCTGGCCGCTGGCTTCGGTCGGGGGGGCACGGGGCTTCGTAGCAGCCGGCCGGGCTGGACCCCAGCACTGGGCTCTGCCACCTCGGTCGCCGTGAGGCTGCACGTGCAGAAGGCGGGCCTGGCCGTGCACACAGCCAAGGAAGCCATCGAGCCCGGCTGGCGGGGCTCAGAGGTTGAGCGTCGACCTCTGAGCCAGGAGGTCACGGCTTGATTCCCGGTCAGGGCCCCTGCCTGGGTTGTGGGCTCAGTCCCCAGTGTGGGGCGTGCAGGAGGCAGCCGATCAATGATTCTCTCTCATCACTGATGTTTCTATCTCTTTCCCTCTCCCTTCCTCTCTGAAATCAATAAATATATATTTTATAAAAAATAAGAAAAGAAAGCCATTGGTGATGTCACCTCCTTAACCATCTCTCCTGACCCTGGACCCTCCCTGCTGGCTTCCCGGCCTACTCCCTTCTCATGAGAGAGTGCTGTGTTCATCGCCTCCACCCCCTCCTCTCCCTTCTTTCTGGCACCCACTCCCATCAGGCTCCAGGCGGCACCCACACTGTGCTTGTCGATGCTGCTAGGACCTGCGTTGCCACCTACACCCCCTGGTCCTTCCTCTTCTGCCACCTTCACCACGAGGGGCCCTGCTTCTAGGAACTCTCTTCCCTGGCCTCTCCCTGGCTTCCTCTCTTGCTCCTGCCAACTGAAGGAAAACCATGCAGGTTTCAGAGATTCTGCACTCACACAGCTACACGCACACATGCACACACACACACACACACACACAGAGTCACAGATACACACACAGCCCCACACACACACAGCCCCACACACACACAGCCACACACACACAGACACAAATACACACACAGCCACACATACACACACATACACACAGACACACACAGTCATACACACAGACACACACACAGACACACATGTGCACACATTGGCATTCAGACCGGCATTTTAAGAAAAAATTCCTTTACCTTAACACAACTATTTTGCATTTGTAACATTATATACCAGTTCTTGTCCAAATAGTCACATTTTTGGCAAGTGTCAATTAGCTTATATTCTAGTTCTTTAATGTTATCCTATTTTTAAGTTTTGAAAACCCTCAGCTACCATTCTCACGATCCCCCAAATTACAGAAACTGCATACTGTACGACGTTACACACTGAGGTGGGGCATTCAGGCAAAAACCGGGTGCCTGTGGGCTGAACCATGGCTGTGGGTGTGTCTTGTGTGAAATACACAGAACTTGTAGCTGTTGTTTTCCATGTGGAATTTGCGTGGCCCTCACGATGCAGGTCCTAACACTCCAGCTGGGTGACCGGCTGCCTTGAGAGCTGTCCACGGTGCTGGTCCCCACCGCTCCCCGCTGCCCTTCCCCAGGCCTGCCCCCGTCCACCTCGGCCCCTCTTGGTGCCCGTGTGCCGGTGAGTGAGCCCCTGTCCTGCCCCCCAGACGAGGCTGCAGAGGCTCAGGGGATTCGGTGCTCCTCCTCTTTCCCTCGGGGCGCTGCTGGGAGCAGGCTGACTGGGTGTAAGTGTCTTTGGGCTCTTGCTGTGTCATATTCCAGGGATGTCTGTGGGCCACCGGCCTCTCTTGCAAAGAGCTGCCCTTGCAGGGGCGTCAGCAAACGCCTAGCGGAGCCTGGCCACAGAGACCCTGTCCTGGGAGTTTGCAAATTTCATTTGAAGCTGAAGTGAGGTGCCTGAGTTGGTTGCTTAAACTGAACAAAGATAAATTTTGGCAGTGGGGTGTATATTTGGCCAAGCAGATTGATTTCAGAGAGACAGGGAGAGGGAGAGATAGAAACATCAATGATGAGAATCATGGATCAGCTGCCTCCTGCATGCCCCACACTGGGGATCGAGCCCACAACCCGGGCCCGTGCCCTGACCAGGAATTGAACCGTGACCTCCTGGTTCATAGGTCAATGCTCAACCACTGAGCCACATTGGCCGGGCAGTAAACCAGTTCTTGCCAAGAGAAAAAAAGAATGAGATATATATGGACAGAGAGATGGTAAGGCAAGAAACTATGGAGGGAGAGAAGGACAAGGAGAGGGAGAGGGAGAGGGATGGTATCTGTGTTTATCGGAAGCTCCTTTGCATGGCTGGGCAGGATCCCATGGAGAGATCTAGCAATTCATCCACCACGGCTGGTGGATGTTGGGGTTGCTGCCAGTTTTTCACAATTATGAATAAAGCTGTTATGCACGTGTGTGCGTGCATGTGCATGTATGTGCGCGTTTGCGCTCATGTGTATGCATGTGCGCGTGTGTGCATATGTGTGTGCATGTGTGTGTGTGTGTGTGCGCGTGTTGGCCATGTCTGCATGTCACTCGGGCGCGTACCTGAGAGAGGGCCCTCTGCCGCGCAGGTCAGGGTGCGTCCTCGATAAGAAAGTGCCCAGAGGGGCTGTGCTGTGGGGCGTCCCCCGCGCCCAGCGCCCAGGCGCCACCACTCGGTGCTGCCAGCTGGCGGCCGCCTCACCGAGGTCTTGGTTGCGTTTCTCTGATGACACGTCGGGCGCTGTTCCCTGTCCTCACCGGCTCCTGTAGACCTTCTCTGCGAGGCAGCTAGTCAAGCCTTTGTTCATTCTTTCCCTTGGGCCCTGGGCTTGGGTGGTGGGTGTTTTTAATGCCCAGGAGACGGCCTTTCTGTCGGGCCTGTGTTTCATGAGTATTTCTCACAGCAGTGGTTGGTCTTTTCATTTTCTTAACAGCATCTTGCAAAGAGCACGTTTCTAATTTTGATGAAGTTCAATTTACCCGGTTTTTTGTTTGTTTGTTTTTAACATGGCTGGTGTCCTAAGAAATATTTGCCTACCCGAAGGTTGTGTGCTCATGTTTTTCCCTAGTAATTCTATAGTTTTAACTTTTATGTTCAGGTCAATATAGGGTTTTGAGGAAAAAAACGGATATGATCTGACTTATGTGCTAAGAGCTTGTGCGTGCGGTGCAGAGTGGAGGCTGGTGGGGCAGAAGGCAGCCTGGAGGGCATCCTGGAGGCGGCGAATGCCCCAATCTGGGCTTGCACCAGGCCGGGGGTTGGTGCACAGCAGGGAAGTTCTGGAAATACCGACCAGCAAGGTTTCAGGCTTGTTCTTCACTCCTCCCTGCATGACACCCAACTCTAAGGAAAGGCACTGCCTTCTCTGAGACCCACGTGCGGGCAGTGTTACCCGAGGCTGCCTGTCTGTGCAAAACCTGCCTGGGCCTGGATGGGTGCTGTGTGTTTGAACGGGTCTTCACTGTCGTCAATAACCGGGTTTAAGTTTTAACCCACACGCTGTCCTTCTGCGGGCACGGCCGTCCCAAACACAGCCTGGCAGCCCATGGACTCGCGCATGAAGGATTAAGAGAAGGAAAACGACGCACCTCGTGACATTCGGCCCCAGGTGTGCTGGGACTCATCGATCCCATCTCGCCTTGGCCACTCAGCTCTGCCCGACCCGGTAGCTCATGATTGATGGCCCTGGATCGCTCCGTCTGCCAGATCCATACACTCAACTGCTCTTTATAGAATCTCCACGCTGTACACCAGGAACAAGACAATAGATTTATTGCCTATGAGTTGTTGCCTTGAAAAATTACATCAATGCCAAGTGATTGCCTTTCAGCCTCCACAGCCAATCAATTTATTTGCTTTTTTTGGGAGGGGATGGGATGAGGTCACAGGATAATATATATATCGTCGCTGATCACAGAATGAGAAGGAGCGAAGTTCTGGAGAGCGGCAGCCGGAAGCGAGAGCCCTGTCTGGGATCAGCCATGTACCGGCTGGCCTGCTGCCTGCTTTTCCTCGCATGCCTGCAGCCTCTCCTCTCCCTCCCCGCCCCGGGCGCCAGGGCAGGGCCCCTGCAGCTCTCAGGTAAGAGGATTTGCTTCCCGTGCGCGCGCGCGTCCTGAAAGGGCCTTCAGCAGGGTCCTCAGTGCAGTGCTAGAGAGGAGAATGGGCGCGCCTGCTCAGCGGGCGTCTCGTGAAGCCCAGTGCCGGCTATGGAGCGGACACGCGGGGGTCCTGACAGCACGTTTCAGATCCAGTTATGGGAACAGGTGGTTTTTCTCTCCAAAGTGCAAGACTAGAATGAAGGATGGGAGCACGGCTCATGTCGTGTCACGTCCATGATTCACTTTTGGTCTGGGTCAGCTTTTCAATGTTACAAGTTGCACTCAATGGAAAACATTATTCTTGTTTTAATTTTAAGTGAACTGTTTGAATGTAGAGTTTGGTTGTTCCCACTGGAGATTTGAAATATTTAAATTTTAATCCTTTCGTATTTTAAGTTGAGAAGTAACCGTCTGACATGTCATATGGAACAAAAAGTGTATAAAAATGTAAAGAGCCACCGGCTGGAGCCAGGAGACCACGGCCCCCCGCGCACCCCCGCCTCTCCCTGTGGGTGGGCGCTGCATGCAGTTCAGGTCTGAGTTCAATTCGAAAAAACGCATGAGTGAAGCAGACGCGTACTGTGCTCTCACCTCTTCCGGTTAAGAAACAAAAACGAGGACTGATGCTTAGGGAGCAGGTTCCACAAACATTTTCACTGGGTTTTATCTTGTCTTTTTTTTTTTTTTTAAATATATTTTATTGATTTTTTACAGAGAGAGGAAGGGAGAGAGATAGAGAGTTAGAAAGATCGATGAGAGAGAAACATCGATCAGCTGCCTCCTGCACACCTCCTACTGGGGATGTGCCCGCAACCCAGGCACATGCCCTTGACCAGAATCGAACCTGGGACCTTCCAGTCCGCAGACCGACGCTCTATCCACTGAGCCAAACCGGTTTCGGCTATCTTGTCTTTAATTTTGGGTTCTTTTAAACGATTTTTCTTTAAATGAAGAAAAAAAGAGTTCTTCTTAGCCACTGATTTTATAACTTCTAGTCTCTCAAGTTTCTCCCAATTTTCTGATAATTGCCAAGCACCGCTTGGAGCGGCTGGCTCATCTTCAAAAATGTGCATATTATTATTATGACTTTAAAAACTTAGATGAAATAAAAAAGTATTTAAAAAAAATAAAAAAACTTCAATGAAATGAGGATGCCATCTCACTCAAATTCCAAACAGGTGGCACCTTACGTTAGAGTTTTTGCCTGAATATTTTTTCTCATTTGTTTCTCCATAAATGATCCTTTATGACATCAGCACGTATATGTGGCCGACTTCACAGGTTCTCATTCACATTCTCAGAAGTGCTGGGACTTGCTCAGGTGCCTTTATCATGTTGGCTCACTGTCTTTCGATGAAGGCTGCAGCTGGGGACGTGCAAGCCTTGTGTTACATGCATCACATGACGCCGAGTCTCCAATCTCAACATGGTGCCCCCTGGCCGAGAGCTACCCCGGGCCAAGCCTCACACCCACAGGCACTACCCACATGCCTTCCCTGTGCTTCCTGCTCTTCCCGTCCATATCTACTTTCTATCCAACTGACAGAGGCCTGAGGTTGGCCGCACTTCACATGGGAAACATTACTGTCAAGCTCTTTAAAGAGGATTTGAAAGCTGACTCTTGTCTAATAATGGCCTTGACCTCTTAAAGGCCTGAAAGGGGGGCCATGGCATCTCTGCCAATAGGAAGCACATAACCCTGCTTGCAGAAAGCCGGTCCTTCCCTCTCCCCCCCCATTTTCCCGCCAAGTCCCCACGAGCCAGAGGCAGCAGCAGATGCCGGGCAGGAGGAAGAGCCACTTCCAGTGGAAACACATTTAACCGATCCGGGCGCAGCTCTACCCCGACTCACGGCAGTCGACGGCGTGGCTGGTCGCAGGCGGTCGAGTCGGAAGTAGATCCTCTCCTCTTGGCTGGCTGTCCCGCTGGCTTGCAAACTGGGCTGCAGCACCCCTGTTAATGAAAACACCACGATCGATCGGCTTAGCTGTGGTAGCTTCTCTAGTATGATCTCCCTGTGCTTGGTCCCCCGCCCCCAAGACGATGGGGAACAGAGGGAACGGATGAAAGGAACGGGCTGAAGGAGGAACCACGTTGCTAATACGCATCGTTACTCTGTGCAGCAGCTGATGGAGGCGGGTCAGCTCGGGACGAACTGGACAGAGCGTCCCTGTCCCTTCTGCGCGGGCTGCTGGGGACGCCAGGGGCAGAGACAGCTGATGGGCTCGGGAAAGCAGGTAAGGGTTCTGGTGGCGACAGCTCCTCTGATTTTATGGCTCTGAGTTCACTCTCTAGTCGCATCTCCCATGAGGCAGAGCCCTCCTCTGGGACATAAAGATGCTCTTCATGAAATAAGTAAACCAGTCACCCGCCTGGCCCTCCCTGGCACGGAGCCCCCCTGCAGCCTCTTCTCTCTCCTCCCAACTCTTGGCACGCACCGGCTCTCCTTGGCACCGGGGCATCTTCTTCTGCGCAGACTTTTGTTTTGGGGGGAGGGAGGGTATATGCAGTTTCTAGTAAGTGCAGTTTCAGGTGCTGGCTTCCCATTCGCTAAAATCTTAAGCAGATGACAGTCTTTCTGCACCCGGTCCTTCATCAGTAGACAGGCATGATAGAAACACCGCCTCATGGGGTTATGGTGAGGAGACCGTGAGGAAATGCAAGCAAAACGGCCAGCACAGCCACACACACATAACAGTCACGGCCAACGCTGCTGCAGGCGCGCCTCTGAGACGCTGCGGGTGGGTCCAGAGCCCGCAGTGCAGCGGCGACCGCCACGAAGCAGGTCACGCAGCACAGTGAAACGTTTGGCTTCCCGGTGCCTGTGACTGTCTACACGAAACTGCGTTCTATTACGTGTGCCATAGCACTACGGCCAAACAACAACGCTGTGCGCGCCTTAACTAACAATACCGTCACGGAGCCTCCAGCAGGGAGGCGCCTTCCCGTCCGGTAGTTTCACAGGAGATGCAGCAACGCGGTCACCCCTCCCACCTCCACGCCTGGTGCTGCTTCTGGCAGTTCCTTCCTCCATGAAGTCTGAGCCCCTCGAAGCCGCCCGTGAGGGCCGGAGCCAACTTCTTCCAAACCCCTGTGGATGCTGCTACTCTGCCCTCTTCCCATGAGTCACGCGTGTTCTTGGTGGCGTCTAGAGTGGGGAGTCCCTCCCAGGTTTCAGTGGACTGTGCCCAGGTCCCCCAGAGGAACCGCCATCCCTGGCAGCTACGGCCTCACAAAATGCAGCTCCTAAATGAGACTTGACAGCCCAGGGGCTCCTTGGCCCACGGGCTGCAGACGGCTGCTGTGTCGGCATGAAAGCACACGACCGCATGGTCCGTCTCCGTCCGAGTGCTTGGGTGGACGGGGCGCTGTCAGTGAGCAGTCACAGTTTGAAAGGAACCTTTCATTTTCTGGGCAGGAAGTCTCCACAGTGGCCTTAAACTATGCAGCAAACCGCGTTACAAACAGCGGTGCTGTCACCCAGGCTTTCTTGGCCATTCGCAGAGCACAGGCAAGTAGACTGAGCCTGTTCCTAAGGCCCTAGGCTTCCCAGGTGGCGAATGAGCATTGTCTTCAACCTAAAGCCGCCAGCAGCATTAGCCCCTAACAGGAGAGCCGGCCTGTCCTCGGAGCCGTGGAAGTCCTGGGTGGCGTCTGCTCCCATACAGGCAGCTCCCTGCACTCTGATGTGATGACGGCTGCTCTCCTTAAACCGCATGACCAGCCTCGGCCAGCTTCCTCCTCCTCCTGCAGCTCCCTCCCCTGACAGCCGTCCTAGGGCTGGAGAGATGGGACGTGGCTTAGGGAATGCTGTGGCTGCTGTGGCTGCCGTGGGCGTCTGCCCCGACCTCTGAGGCTTTCCCCACACCAGCAGCAAGGCTTTTCCATGTCTTATCACTCGTGTGTTCGCTGGGGTAGCGCTTTTAGTCCCTTTGCGCTCTGGCCAGTGTGGCTCAGTGGTAGAGCAGCAGCCTGCGCCCTGAAGAGCTGTGGGGTTGATTCCCGGTCAAGGGCACGCACCTGGGTTGCAGGTTCGACCCTGTCTCACATCTCATATCCCTGTTTCTCTCTCTCTCTCTCGCTCTCTCCCTCCCTCCCACACTCTCTGAAAATCAATGGAAAAAATACCCTTAGGGGAGGATTCACAAAAAAACAAAACAAAACAAGAAATACTTCCCCTTTGCATTCACTACTTGGCTAAATGGCTCCAGCAGCCTGGTGTTTGGCCTCTCTCAGTTTCCACACGCCTTCCTCACTAAGCGTAGCTTTTGGTCTAAAGGGAGCGATGCGTTATACCTCCGTTCACTTGAACACCCGAGGCCACTGTAGGGCTATCCATTGGCCTCATTGCACTACTGTTGTGTCTCGGGGAACAAGGAGGCCTGAGGAGAAGGGGAGAGACAGGGGGACGGCTGGTTGGCGGAGCAGCCACAACACATACATCTGAGTCACCATCTTGTATGTGTTGGTCTGTGGCACCCCTAAGGATGACAATGGTAACACCAGAGATCACTGGCCATCGATCACCAGTGACAAACAGCAATGATGAGAAACCCTGAAACACCGGGAGAATGACCAAAGTGTGGCCGAGACTGAAGTCCGCAAATGCTGTTGGAAAAAGGAACTTGACGGAGGGACTCGTTCAGCGCAGGGCGCCAGGCCTTCCCGGTGCAACCAAGGCAGGCCTGTGAGGCGTGTGACGCACAGTACAACACAAGGTCCTGCCCTTCCTCCAGGACCGCACTTCTCCAGGCACTGCCACATGCCCAGAACATTCCAGAAGGAATGGAGACTTCTCATAGGCATTGCTTAATAGGAAGGAGTTGGTTATAAAATGTTTTTGATAAACGACTGACCTGCTAAGTGTTGAGGACAATGCAGCGCCCCGTGAATTCTGCAGGAGAGGGAACAGGGTGTGGGCTGCCCTGCCCTCGGCGAACACCGCCGCGGGGGGACAAGGACGGCCAGAAACGAGACATGCGTCAGTAATAGTCCAGCCTGTGTTTTACTAAGACCAGCGTGAAGTGGGAGCAACAGATCTGATGATGAACCGTTTCGCAATATTGTTTTCTAGATGCCGGCACCAACGTGCGTAACCCAAGAGGAAACACGAGAAAGGTGAGTGACTGAGTGAGGCCTACAAATGTGAGAGATGCTGACACCGGACCTCACCCCAGCACCACGGAGTCCCAGTCTGCAGCTCACCAGGGTCCCGGGGGGCGGGGGGTCTGCTTCAGACGGAGGAGCTTCGAGAAGCACTGAGCGTAACTTCCGAGAGGAAGGACACACGCAGACACTGAGGGGGAGGGTGCGCGCGGGGGGGGGGGGGGAGGGGCTGGGGGCCGCAGGAGACTGTGACGGGGACGATGGACGGCACCGAAAGTTAGAAATGAGGACCGTGAATGGAGGCCTTGAGTGCTGAAAGAGAAACCCGAACCTGATCGTCACCCACCCCAACTCTAAATCCGCGTTTCCAGTCCTGAGCCCGTCCGCAGCCGCGCACCGTCCCAGCCCCGCTCCTGCCCCGCTCCTGCCCTGGCGCACCTCTGCCCGTGGGCACATGGAAGCGCAGGAATCCCCGAGCAGCTCAGTTCACTTCACCAGGCCTTTCCCAGACACTCTGACCAGAGGCAGCTTCTCCCGCTAACATCCTTGCACGAACTTACTCAGGGACACGCGGTCCCAGGGACGGCACGCCACCTGAGCCCCACGGGGGAGACCACCTGGGGTCCCACCTGAGCCCCAGCTGGGTCCCTCCTGGGGTAACCCTGAAGGGGAAGGGGTGGCTTCTACCTGTGACTAATTAGAAGTCATCATTCAGATGTTTATATTCTCAACAGAAGAATTCTGGTTAAAGACTCTAATATCATACGGGTGATTTGCTTGTGAAAATTTAGAATACCCCCCAAACCAAGGGTCCAAGAAGTTAGTTTCAAGCCAAATAAGATCTGCTTTACACAGAAGATACGCATATCCGGAACTTGTTATGAAGAAGTTATTTTTTAAAAAGTATCTTATTGATTTCAGAGAGGAAGGGAGAGGGAGAGAGAGAAACATCAATGATGAGAGAGAATCATTGATCGGCTGCCTCCTGCATGCCTCCTACTGGGGATGGAGCCTGCAACCTGGGCATGTGCCCTTGCCCGGAACTGAACCCGGGACCTTTTAGTGCGCAGGCCGACGCTCTATCCACTGAACCAAACTGGCCAGGGCACGGACAGATTGTTTAAATAGAAATAGGTGGTCGAGGGTGCAGGGAGACTCTCGGCAACCCTAGGGCTGCACACACTGGACGGGCCACTGGTTAGAGCCCACATGCTGGGCTCCAACTGCAGTTAAGTCCCCGAGAACATGAGGAAAGGCCTTATGTCTGGACCCCAGTTCCTTTTAACTCATCGATGATCCATCTGTTTTTGTGTGTTGGGTCTTGGTTTCAGGCTTTCTCTGGACAAGACCCTGATATTTTGCTGAATCGACTTTTGGCCCGAGTCAGGGAGCAGCATGAGAAGCGTGGGCACCCCTCTGAGTGCTTCTGGAAATACTGCGTCTGAAGTGAGGACCACCTACTTGTCAACTCAAAACCAACCGTCTTAGAAAATGAACAGCAGACACGCTTCATCTGAAAAGAGCCCAGAAGAAATGCTAGGCAAACTCTGCCCTGTTCATTGTCATTCGGAAAATAAATCCTCTATGTTTTGCAAATAGCATCAGTGGTTATTTAATTATAAACATACTAGAGGCCCGGTGCATGAGATTCGTGCACTGGAGGGGGGTGTCCCTCAGCCTGGCCTGTGCCTTCTCGCAGTCCAGGACCCCTTGCTCCTTATGGCCCACCTGCAGCAGAGGCGGGAGAGGCTCCTGCCAGCCACGAGCCTGGCTTCCGGCTGAGCAGCCCTCCCTCTGTGGGAGTGCACTGACCACCAGGGGGCTGCTCCTGCATTGAGTGTCTGCCCCCTGGTGGTCAGTGCATGTCATAGCAACTGGTTGTTCTGACCTGTTAGGTCTATTTGCATATTATGCTTTTATTACATAGGATTCTAAAATCTCTAGCTCTTTTTTCAATTGATTTTTTAAGAAAATTATCTGAAAATGTAAAAATAAAGCTAATAAATGAACATAAGCAAATGCTAAGAAAAAGTCCTAAAAGGAAAATTTAGCTAAAATAGTTAAACTGCAAATCATTTAAACAAATGACATCATTTTAGCTATGACCTCCTCTCAGCTCTCAAAAATGATGACGTGAGTTATTACTTACAAAACCCACATCTCCACTTGGAAAGCCCCCGGGAGTGAGGGAGGCCACAGGGCTGGGACCATCTGAGTCCCCTGAGGCTGGCGGGGGGGGGGCCCCGTGCTCTGCCCTGTCCCTTAGCTGACCATGTGCTGAACATGGGAAACCTGCATCTGCTGACGCTGAGCCGGGTTTGATCTCAGTTCCCGTGGCCCAGAAACCACAATCCCATTCTTACCAAGTGGGAAGGTGGGTGGGACGTAAGGCTGTGGAGGGGAAGGAACAGCCTGGCGTGTGGGACCCTACGTTCTATGACTACACCTACGCAAACGCGGCCAGGCGGCGGAGCACAGGGAGCCCTAGAGGTGCCTCCAGCAGGAACGGACCGCCTCGGCGTCCCCCGAGCCCTGCACGCACCCCACCACCACCTGGGAGGGGCAGAGCGGCCCACTGATCTCAGCAAACACCAGTCTCGCACAGGGCACAGGCCAACCTCCCGTCCCCACTGCAGACAGACCGACGGGAAAGACGCCTCAGGGCCGGCGAGCGGCTGCGTCACCGAGAACACACTCACGCTCGGGCCGCGGGGGAACACGGGTGTCTCGCGCTGGGGCAGCACCAATACGAACTCACTAACAGAACTCTGAGCCACAAGACGATTCATATTTATGATCCCGGAGAGAAGGCGAGTTCCACTGCACACGGCTCTACACCCCTCCCTGGTGTGGGGACGGGAGGCTGCTATCCGGGCAGATGGGCTTTGCAGTCGGGTTCCGCGGTCCGAGCCTGTCCCCACGCACGTGGGCACCTAGCGGGAGCCCTCCCCAGGTGGCACCCCGCCCACCTCAGCCCCTTCTCTGGGAAACCGTGTTTTCTGCGTGTCCTGCTGCTTGTTACGGAAGGTGCAGACGGCTGAACGGTGCACCAGTGGCAAGTCCTGCTGGTTTCAGGCTCGGTTCCGATTTTAATTGTGAGATGTTGCTGCCACCAGTGACCCAGACTTGGTGAAGATGGGTTCACTGGAGGGTCCTGAGGAGTCACTTGGTTATTGACTTTATAAACTTGGCACTGACATTGGTATCAACCACGTGGGCACAGGTTCAGGACCTGCCGACGCCTCCGTGTAAGGACTGGGAAACGCCGATCGTCCACACGCGCTCACCCCCACAGCTCACACCCCCACAGCTCACACCCCCACAGCTCACACCCTCACAGCCCACACTCACAACTCACACCCCACAGCTCACACCCCCACAGCTCACACCCCACAGCTCACACCCTCACAGCCCACACTCACAACTCACACCCCACAGCTCACACCCTCACAGCCCACACTCACAACTCACACCCCCACAGCTCACACCCTCACAGCCCACACTCACAACTCACACCCCCACAGCTCACACCCTCACAGCCCACACTCACAACTCACACCCCCACAGCTCACACCCCCACAGCTCACACCGTCACAGCTCACACCCCCACAGCTCACACCCCCACAGCTCACACCCCCACAGCTCACACCCCCACAGCTCACACCGTCACAGCTCACACCCCCACAGCTCACACCCCCACAGCTCACACCCTCACAGCTCACACCCCCACAGCTCACACCCCCACAGCTCACACCGTCACAGCTCACACCCCCACAGCTCACACCCCCACAGCTCACACCCCCACAGCTCACACCCTCACAGCCCACACTCACAACTCACACCCCCACAGCTCACACCCCCACAGCTCACACCCCCACAGCTCACACCCTCACAGCCCACACTCACAACTCACACCCCCACAGCTCACACCCCCACAGCTCACACCCTCACAGCCCACACTCACAACTCACACCCCCACAGCTCACACCCCCACAGCTCACACCCTCACAGCCCACACTCACAGCTCACACCCCCACAGCTCACACCCCCACAGCTCACATACTCACAGCTCACACCCTCACAGCCCACACTCACAACTCACACCCCCACAGCTCACACCCTCACAGCCCACACTCACAGCTCACACCCCCACAGCTCACACCCCCACAGCTCACATACTCACAGCTCACACCCTCACAGCCCACACTCACAACTCACACCCCCACAGCTCACACCCTCACAGCCCACACTCACAACTCACACCCCCACAGCTCACACCCTCACAGCCCACACTCACAACTCACACCCCCACAGCTCACACCCTCACAGCCCACACTCACAACTCACACCCCCACAGCTCACACCCCCACAGCTCACACCCTCACAGCCCACACTCACAGCTCACACCCCCACAGCTCACACCCTCACAGCCCACACTCACAACTCACACCCCCACAGCTCACACACTCACAGCTCACACCCCCACAGCTCACATACTCACAGCTCACACCCTCACAGCCCACACTCACAACTCACACCCCCACAGCTCACACCCCTCACAGCCCACACTCACAACTCACACCCCCACAGCTCACACACTCACAGCTCACACCCCCACAGCTCACATACTCACAGCTCACACCCTCACAGCCCACACTCACAACTCACACCCCCACAGCTCACACCCTCACAGCCCACACCCACAACTCACACCCCCACAGCTCACACACTCACAGCTCACACCCCCACAGCTCAGTCACAGCTCACATACTCACAGCTCACACCCCCACAGCTCAGTCACAGCTCACACACTCACAGCCCACACCCCCCCAGCTCTCACTCACAGCTCACACCCCCACAGCTCACACCCTCACAGCTCTCACACCCACAACACGAATCCTGCTGAGAAACCAGCTCGCCTGGGCCACGTCCCCCCGACACACCAGACTCAGGGTGAAGGCCTGTCGCACTTCCCAAGCTTTACATGTAGTTTATTTACTGTTTCCACTTAAAAAAGATCCCCCATTAAAACACTGACAACTAGTAAAAACGAGCGGACTCACACAGCTAATTATAAATTCAGCCAAAAGGAAAGTTCATTCGGATTAAGCTGACCTTGTGAATCATAACGAAACGTCACTTAGTTGCAAAACGGTCCCATTCATACAGCACTTTTGTTTTCCTAAGCCCTGACCTCTCACCCAGGAAGTACAGCCTCTCGGGGAACATGTATGTAAACATCGGAGCCTGTGACACACGTTTCATTAGCACTTTCTCGAGGCATCAGTACAGCAGCTCTAAGCCCGCAGGACCAGGGGCGCTGGCGGCCGTGGGGAGCGGTCAGCCTCCCTCCTCGCCGCCCAGCGCCCGCAGCCCGGCCTCCACGGGCACCGGCTGACCCACAGGCCGAAACCGAGAGTCCAGACGCTGAGGAATCCGCCCACAGCGAGCACCAGTTTCAGATCAAGCCCCGGGGGCGTGCACTCAGAAGGCAGGGAAGGCAGCGGGTGCAGGTACAACCACGTCGGGAACACGTGGGAAGGGCTCGCGCTGTGGGACGCAGGTTTAAAACACGTCCGCGCACAGCAGCGCTGCCCGGACAGCTGCGTGTCCGCTCTGATCGGAGGCACAGTGATTCTACGGGTGCACAACAGCCAGGGTGACTCATCAAAAAAAAAAAGTGGCATTTTTCACCAAGAGCAAACATAAAAAACCACATAACTTGCCCAGCGCAACACAGGCTTCAGAAATCATTTCACAATCCAGATGAGGGGACATCAGGTTCTCGTTCATAAAACAGGCGTATCTGCAGGGAGCCGCTTAATATTAAAAAATGCCACGGAATGTCATCGGAAGCATCTGGAAAAGGTTCTGACCCCGTAAAAGACAGAATCTCCTTCCAGGAAACGACTCTGCACAGAGGCTACGCCCCGGGGACGGAGAGTCAGGGGATCCAGAATGAGGCCCAGCAGGGTCGAGTCTCCTAATGTCACCAGGACGCATTTTACAAAAACTGTAAAACTCGGAGGAGGAGCAAGTGTTTTCCTAAAACAAAATAAAACACACACACAGACACACACACACAAACACACACACACAGACACACACACAGACACACACACAGACACACAAAAACACACAGGCACACACACAGACACACACACAGACACACAAAAACACACAGACACACACACAGAGACACACACACAAACACAGACACACACACACAGAGACACACACACACACACAAACACACAGACACACACTCACACACACACACACAAACACACACACACAGACACAGCCACCAGGAGGAAAAGTAAGCGCGTCCGCGCAGAGGACAGGCTCCCGTGACCCACGTCTCCTCCTTCCTCTTTCTGACCTGCGTGGAGGGAGCTGCGTGCCTTCCCCGCAGGAGCAGGAGCAGGAGCAGGAGCAGGAGCAGGAGCAGGAGCAGGAGCAGGAGCAGGAGCAGGAGCAGGAGCAGGAGCAGGAGCAGGAGCAGGAGCAGGAGCAGGAGCAGGAGCAGGAGCAGGAGCAGGAGCAGGAGCAGGAGCAGGAGCAGGAGCAGGAGCAGGAGCAGGAGCAGGAGCAGGAGCAGGAGCAGGAGCAGGAGCAGGAGCAGGAGCAGGAGCAGGAGCAGGAGCAGGAGCAGGAGCAGGAGCAGGAGCAGGAGCAGGAGCAGGAGCAGGAGCAGGAGCAGGAGCAGGAGCAGGAGCAGGAGCAGGAGCAGGAGCAGGAGCAGGAGCAGGAGCAGGAGCAGGAGCAGGAGCAGGAGCAGGAGCAGGAGCAGGAGCAGGAGCAGGAGCAGGAGCAGGAGCAGGAGCAGGAGCAGGAGCAGGAGCAGGAGCAGGAGCAGGAGCAGGAGCAGGAGCAGGAGCAGGAGCAGGAGCAGGAGCAGGAGCAGGAGCAGAGCAGGAGCAGAGCAGGAGCAGGCAGGAGCAGGAGCAGGAGCAGGAGCAGGAGCTGGCTGACCCGGGACACAGCTGCTCGGAGCAGACCCAGCTCGGCTGCAGGGAGCACGGGTCCCGCGGGGGCTGCGCCCGCCCAACACCGAGCCCCCCCCCCCCCCCGACCTCTCTCACTGTGCAGCCCCTCCCCACTGACCCCCGTTTAGGGGCAAAAAAGAGGCAGTGCCCCCAGACCTCTGGCAGGGCCGGACTTTTGGTGTAAATTAGCTGGAAAGAAAGCGTTAACTGGTAGTTTTGGTTTAAAAGCATTTAAACACAGACGCATATAAAACCAATATTAATTTCTACAAACCTTTTTACAATCACTGATGTATGATTTACAATCATACGATGATTTACAATCACTGATTATGACTGTATGATTTACAACCATAAAAACAAAGACATTAAAAAGGAAATACCACTGATTGAGTCAGAAGCTTTCACACGCGGAAGCGAACTTCAACGGCCCCGGAATGAGCCGGCTGCAGCGGGTCGCTTCTGCAGATGAGACTCAGGTTCCGTGGCAGGTGGAGCCCGAGGGGGAGCCTCTGTGCGGATGGTCCAGATGCCCTCGGAGCTCGGCACCCCGGGGCCGGCGGGCAGCGCGTGCCATCGGCAAACAGGAGGGCCGGGTGCTGTGAGCTCACGGGCGTCTGGTGCTGGTCATGGGGCAGCGTCACCTGTGCTGACTGGACAGTTTAGGGACCTCGGGAGGCGCAGGGCCATGGGCGGGACTTGCCTCGTCTTCGGACGGGAATGACGGACGTAGCAGCAGAGCCAAGGCCATGAGGCTGAGGTCTGGTTGGGCTCTGCCGTCTACGCTCACTATCCCTCCCTCTGCTGCACACACAGCTTTGCGAAGCCCTCCAGTCCTCCGGACACAGCTGAGCCAGAAAAAGCCGGCTGTGTTTTCATACGCCGGGAACAGGGAGAAGGAAAAGATTCTATATACCAAGTCTGTTTCGGAGAAGCGATTCCGTCGAGAGGCCGAGGAGGAGAAACCTTAGCGTTCAAGGACAACGCCGCGGTCATTTACAGTCAGGGGCTCCGAGATGTCCCGGGAGGCTGTGCTCGGCACCTCACAGCCACTCAGCTGCCGTCCGGGGTCCTGGCTGCAGGCTCCTCCCGTGCCACCGCCCGCGGCTCTGTCCCTGCAGGAGGCACAGGCCTCCAAGGAGGAACAAGGCAGGCGGGTTATTTGACGGGACACCAGCTGGCGTCTCAGGCAGTGAAATGCGGGCCAGGCACCGCGTCCAGTTCCCACACCCACTCACGTCCAGGACATCCACACGCTCGCTCCTTCTTAGAAGGTAAACAACAGCAACTTTAAACGCTTCTGTTCACCTGCTTGGGGCTCATTCCTCACAGGCCCTTTACTCACGGAGCAGGAAGATGGGATTAAAGGAAACAGGGCCTGGCAGTGACCAGCCGCCCTGGTCTTGGGGAGATGGCACATGGCCCTCCGACAGGCAGGCTCGCACCCTCTCCTTAGAAAGAGGGAACTCCAGGACTTGCTCAGCCCATAAGCCTCAGTGCACACTTTCTGGGCACCTCCCTTCACCCTCTTGTTCTAAGTTCTGACCTCACACATCACCTCCCACAGCCGTCACACCATCACTACAGAGCCAGCCCCTCGGCCACCGGCAAACGGGGCGTCCATCCTGTGGGGACGCATCAAAGCAAAGACCACCTGGGTCCCCGGGGGCTCCCGCTACGCACGGACACCCCTCTGGTGTGGATCTCACTTCTTGAGTCTCAACTCCCTTCAGAGATGCACGCCCGTCTGAACGCGATCGGACACCTCGCTCCCCGTCCACCTCAGCTCAGAGCAGCGCTCTGCCCCCTCGCCCCGGAACCGGCTGACGGGCGGGAGGCCGCCGCCTGCGTCAGGAACCCCGCGCTCCCAGCCCCCAGCCGGCCACGCCTACCGGCTGTTCAGCGGCCGGACGTCGCACCACACAGAAGTCGCCGGGAGGGTCCTGCCACCCACACTCCGCGCCCAGCACCCTCCCGCCCAGGACCCGGCCGGACGCTGTGCTCACGTGCGTGTCCGCTCCCGGAGGGAGGCCCCGGCTCTGCGCCCCGGCCAGCTCCGCCCGCTGCCCCGCGGAGAACTGTGGCTGCCGCCGCCTCATGCGCTCCAGCTTCGCCAGGTCTTCCCTCAGGACCACGTCTTGCACCCTGAGAACAGACGGCAGCAACCTCACTGGCCCTGAGGGCCCGGGTGCTTGTCACGCCCCCGGAGAACGGGCTTTTCCTGTTGTGAGATGCGCTTTCCATCGCCTGTGAGTGACGATGCACACGCTAAACATACGACACACGCTAAACATACTATGCACACGCTAAACATACGGTGCACGTGCTACACATACGATGCACGTGCTAAACACACGGCATTGCTCCTCTGTCCCGTGGGCAGCCAGACCTCCTCTTCTCGGGGACATCTGTGCAGAGTCTGAGGAGGCGCCAGAGAGACGCCCTCAGCCCCCCACTGTGAGTGCAGAGACAGCCCCTCTGAACAGAACAGCCCTGCTCACGCCGCCTGGAGCACTGCCTCCCCTGCCCTCTTGCCTTCCCCCCTCCCCCCGCCCCCCTCCCCCCCCCCCCCCCGTCCTCCTGCCCTGATGGAGCACCTTTGTTTAGTCTGGACCAGCCGTGCGTGCCCCACCACCGTGACCACTGTGTCACGTAATCGTTCATCATTGGACTTCAAATGAACGAATTTAAAAACGCAGCTCCCCGAGGGTCTGTGTATAAACAGCTCACAGCCACTCGGCACTGGCCCCATGGAAGAGCCGATTAGGAGCCGATGGAGTGGGTCTGCCAGGCGCCGCTTACCTCTCGGGCAGCTGGTACGTCATGAGGACGCACTCGGGCGTCTGTGCTATCATCCTCCACACGGGCTCCTCCGCTGCGTGGGGAACGGCGTCCCCCGCCCGCACTTCCCGAGGCTGCCGCCCGTCGGGGGCGACTTCAGAGGCGCCGTCGCTACCAGAGAGGCACATGCTGCTGCCACTGCTCCCTGCCAAGAGCCAGCACGGAACAGATCAGCACACGCCTGCCAGCTCCTTGATTCCGCCACCGCCCCTCACCACCAGCCCTGCCCCCCGGGTCACCAGCCAGGCTGGCCAGGGCACACTCAGAGGACGCCGCTCGACCCTGCGGAGCACATGCCCTCACAGGGCGCCTGGGACACTGGTCAGGATGGGCCAAGCTGGACCCTCAGCAAGTGCCAGGACATTTAAAAGCATAAAGAATGTGTTCTGTCTGCAATTCAGCTCGCACCCAGCGAAATACCTAGAAAACTCCCAATACTAGGTAATCAAATAATTTCTAGTAACTATGGTCAAAGAAAACACAGGGGAAGTGAGAAACTGCTTTACACTGAATGAAAATAAAAACACGCACATCAAACCTGAGGGATGAGTAAGGCGCTGCGTGGAGGAAAACAGAAAGCACTAAATGTTCCTATTAGGGGGAACAGGTGACTAATTAGCGGTCTAAGCTCCCACCTTAAGAAATTAGAAAAAGGGCAAATAAGCGCCGAAAGCACACAGAAGGGAGTAACAAAGCTCAGGGCGGAAATCGGTAAAACACAAAGCCAACAACGGGAACAATTAAACCTGTTTCCTGGAGAAGGCAATACAACTGGTAAACAGAGTCAGAACAGTAAGAGCACAATGGATTCTACAGACACTCAGCGAGTAAGAGAATGCTGTCAACAAGTTTATGGCAAAAAATTCAACAACTTAGATGAAATGGACAAAACCTGGAAATACACAAATTCCCGAAGATCCTCAAGGAGGAACAGAAGACCGAGTCGACCGCAATCTATGAAAGAAATCAGATGTGCTGTTAACAGCCTCTCACAGAGAAAACCGCAGGCCCGATGGCGTCTGCGTGCGATTCTACCGAACATGCAAGGACGACACATCAACTCAAAACGAGCTCCTCCAGGAAACGAAGAGGGAAACGTCCCCAAGTCATGTTTTAAGGCCATCCTTCCTCTAATACCAAAACCCGACAAGGAAAGAAACCAATAAATCAATATTTCTCATAATAGGTGCAATACTCCTTAACAAACTATTAGGGTATAGAATCCAGCAATATGTTAAAAAGATAAAACAGCATGATCAAGTACAAGGTTAACTTAAGATTTGAAAATTAATATAATTCACTATATTAATAAAATAAGAAAAAAAACCATATGAGTATCTCAACAGGGGGAGGAAAACACCTCAGCGAATTACCAGGGGAAAGGCACGTCCTCCCTCTTACCGACAGGGAACATTTAAGGGAACCACACCTGGCATCACACTTAATGGTGCAACTCTGTGAGCAAGGCAGGCACGCTTGTCTCAGTGCTCTGCTCACACTGCTCTGGGGTCTTGGCCAGTCCAATAGGCACCAGATCATAAGGAAGAAGTGAAGCTATATTCGCAGACAGCAAGACTGTCCACGTGGAAAAGTCCTACAGGATCTGCGAAAGAGCTGCAAAAACTAATACATGAGTTTAGGAAGACTGCAGAATATAAAATTCAAAATCTGATTGAATTTCTATATGCTAACAGCAAACTATTGGAAATTGGAATTTTATTTTAATTTTTTTAAATGTATTTTTATTGAGTTCAGAGAGGAAGGGAGAGGGAGAGAAACATCAATGATGAGAGGGAATTATTGATCAGCTGCCTCCTGTATGCCCCCCACTGGGGATGGAGCCCACAACTCGGGCATGTGCCCTGACCAGGAATCGAACCAGTGACCTCCTGGTTCATAGGTCAACACTCAATCACTGAGCCACGCTGGCTGGGCTTGGGATTGGATTTTTAAAATGTCATTCACTACAGCATCAAATATATGAAACCCTTAGGGGTAGTTTAAGCAAAACATGTATGTGTAAGATCTGTGCATGGAAAATAATAAAAATTGCTGAGAAACATTAAAGACCTACATAAAAAAGAAAGGCATCATGTTCATGGGTCAGAAGACTCAATACTGTCAGGGTGACAATCCTCCCAGAACCAGCCTATCGATCCGACACAGTATTCGTCAAAATCCAGCAGGGTTTTGTTTTTTGTTTGTAGAAACTAAGAACCTGATTCTATAATTTATGTGGACAAAGAAAGGACCTACTGCCGGAAGCCGGTCCATCCTTGCTGCTTGACACAGTCGCTGCAGGAAAGAAACATCTGCACAGCATATGTTTCAAGGGACCTGGCATATATAGCATACTGTTCTTAATATGTTTGCTCCCCTTAGCGCTGTGTGTTTTAACCAAGGTCACCTCTCCAAGAAAGGTTGTTTCCCCAGGTAGGAATTTTTCCCTGAAGTCAGGGAGGGGATGCCTCTCCTAGAAAGGTTGTTTTCCCAGGTAGGAATTTTTCCCTGAAGTCAGGGAGGGGATGAAACTCCTTAACTAAGTGCCAGGCGGGTAGTTAATCACTACAAACAATCATGCTTAAGCTACATAATCTTTACTCCCTGGAATGGAGATAAGAAACGCCCTAACCTTTGTAATAGAAATTGACAGGATTAAAATCAACTGGTATAAATACGGATGTAACAAGACAATAAACAGCAGAACTTCGCTGGAGATCCTGGCTAGAGATCCTGGCTAGGCTGCTGATCAACTGAACACTGTCTCCGTGTCCTTCCTTCTTCGCCGACTCCATCCACACCTTTGGGGACCCCTGGACCTGCTGGGGTTGGACCCCGGCATCTGGCGCCCGAACAGTGTTCCCTTAGGTAAGTCCCCCCGTACTTGGGACGGATAGGACTGCACCGTAGGGTGCTGCAGACCCCCCCCCCCCATAGAGAATAAGTAGGGTAAGCGGGTAGTTAGTACAGAACTTAGATTGACAAGATGGGTCATACTGAGTCTAAAGAAAAAAGACTCTGTATTAATCTTTTAACGCATATGCTTACTAGCAGAATTGGAGTTGAGGTTTTTCCCAGTGAGACAGAAAGTTTTATAGAAGAAGTATGTCAATGGCTTCCAGAGGATGGAACTGTTAATTTAAAAACTTGGGTTGAAGTAGGAAAGCAATTAAAGAAACACCATGAATCTGACAAGGTCCTGCCATGTTTCTTTTCCCTCTGGGATTCAATCTGTGACACCTTGGCACCAGAGGCAAAAACGGTTGAACTTTCTCAAAATTTAAATAGTCCCTCGGCTCCACCCAGAGAGGACACATCATCATTGTCTTCAGCTCAATCTAAAAGCAATTTAGCTATGCCTACTGATCGGGAGGAGAATAAATATCATAAACATGACCATTGTTCCTTTCCAGTCAGTAGAGAGGAGAATGGCCCTCCCATTCAAAACAGGCTCCCCAAATTAGAAAGGAAGCCTAAACCAGGTCCTGTGGCTCCTATGAGCTCCATGTCTAAATTTCAAAGGGCGATAAGAGAAGCTGAAGCTAATGGAGATCTTGAATTCTCACTCTGCTTCCCAGTTACATATGAGAATGAGTCTGGTGGGAATAGAAACCCCACCTTGGAGCCTATACCTTACAAAGTACTTAAAGAATTAAAATTGGCCTGCTCTGAATATGGACCTCTAGCTCCTTACACACAAACCTTGGTAGAAACCCTAGCCAGTAAATGGATGACTCCTTATGATTGGTCACAGGTTTGTAAATCCTGTCTCTCAGGAGGCGATTACTTATTATGGAAAACTGAATATGAAGATCTTGCTAAGAAAGCTGTAGCCACTAGCGAAAAAACCAGAAAAGGAATAACCCTAGACATGATATTAGGAGAAGGTGATTTTAACACGGCTGAGGAGCAAATGAATATGCCCACAGAGGCACTTACCAAAGTAACCAGTTGTGCAGTAAATGCCTGGAAATCCCTACCTTATACAGCAGGAAAAACCACCACCCTTACAGAGGTTAAACAGAAGGTCGAGGAACCATATCAGGATTTCCTTTCTCGCCTCATGCAGGCAGTCAAGAGAGTAATCAATAACAAAGAGGCAGCCGATATCCTAATCAAACAACTGGCTTTTGAAAATGCTAATAATACCTGTCAGGCTTTATTAAGGCCGATTCGCAGAACAGGAACTATAAATGATTTTATAAAACAGTGTGCTGATGTAAGTCCAGCATTTATACAGGGTGTAGCTATAGCTGCAGCTCTCAAAGGGGAGACATACCCTCAATATGTACAGGGTATAGGACAAGCCAGCAATACTACAGGTAATAAAAGAAATATGAACTGCTACTCTTGTGGCTTATCTGGGCACTTTAGCAGAGAATGCCCAAATAAAAATAATAATAATACTCAGGCCAGATGGCAAGCTCCTCGACAGCCTGGAAATACATTAGGGAATAATATTAATCCTCCAAAAACCGTCTGTCCCCGATGTCAGAAAGGATTCCATTGGGCAAAGGAATGTAGATCAAAATACCATAAAAATGGTCGGCCTTTAAACTCTACAAATAGCTCCCAAGGAGGTTATATCCCATCACCTCAATCGGGAAACTTGAGAAGGGGCCAGCCCCAGGCCCCTGCAATAATAGGGGCATCAACCTTCAACCCCTTTGCAAATTTCGATCAGTCAGTGACCTCTTCAGGGCAACCCCAGGCAGTGCAGGATTGGACCTCCACTCAACCACCCATGCAGTACTAACCCCAGACTCGCCAGTAGCAGCCATTCCTACAGGAGTGTCTGGGCCACTGCCTGAGGGAACTGTAGGTTTAATATTAGGACGGAGCTCCACCTCGTTACAGGGGATCTTAGTCATCCCAGGAGTTGTTGATGCAGACTACACAGGAGAAATACAGATTTTACTTTCCCCACCCACCACAACTATACAGATTCAGCCCAACCAGAGAATTGCCCAATTAATCCTGTTACCAATACATAAAATAGGGACAGCTGTTACCCAGGAAGCTAGAGGGGCCAGAGGCTTTGGATCTAGTGATGCAGCATTTTGGATACAAGAAATCCATGCTACTAGACCTACAAAAATTTTACAAATTCAGGGAAAACCAATTGAAGGTCTATTGGATACAGGAGCAGATGTTTCCTGCATAGCAGGGAAGGATTGGCCCTCTTCATGGCCCACGCACACCACCTCCACTTCCCTAGTAGGACTAGGCAAGGCATCTAATGTAAAAAAGAGTTCTCAGATTCTAACTTGGGCTGATGAAGATCAACATTCAGGAACATTCTGTCCCTATGTAATTACAACTATCCCCTTTACATTATGGGGAAGAGATATCTTATCTCAAATGGGAGTTCTATTATATAGCCCCAGCGGTGTTTGATTTACTCCTGTTACAAAATATTACAAGAAAATGAGTTTAAATATTCCTCTCCTCATCATGTTCTACAACATGCTCAATTTGTAATTAATATACTAAATGTAGATTCTGAGGGGAATTCCCCGATGTACAGGCATTGGAACCCTGATCTAACTAAACCTAAAGCCCTCGTCAAATGGAGAGACTTGCTTACAGGATCCTGGAAGGGACCTGATGTACTTTTAACCCAGGGGAGAGGATATGCTTGTATATTTCCACAGGATGCAGACTCACCTGTGTGGATTCCAGACCGTCTAGTCCGACCTTATGTCTCACCGCCCGCCATCTCTGCCTCATCATAGCACACCTGACCAGTGCCCGTCTGCAGCAGATGTGCAGCCCTGAGCTGGAACAATCTGTCCATTGGGAGGATCATATGTGCCTCCGTTTTGTCTTTCCACATGTCCCAGCTTTGCCCCACATCTCCTTTCCTTTTTCCTTTTTTTAAAATCTAACTACTTGTTTGCTGGTTCTTTGGCCGTTCTCCTTCTTTCCTGAACACAGCCTTTTCTAGAATCTCCCTACCCTACTGTTCCAGGAAGGGCATCTCCCTTTTATGCCGTGACTAGGGGTGTTTGGTATATGCCTCATACATGGAGTTGCCTTGTGCCAAGAGCCTGATATCCTGGGCCGAGAAAGCCCTGTTTCAGGACTCTCCTTTGTCCTGTATTGGTGCCTCTTACCCTTGTGTCAAGAGGGACCCTCTTCTTACAATCCAATTGCCCATAGCTGTTGCCTGAGCTCTCTGTTCATGCTGAGGTTGAAGCCGCATGGTGGCTGGTACCATGGATCTGTCTCTGGCCCAATGGCGTAAGCTGGGCCCTCTCTAGAGAAGAAACCTGAGTTCCCTATGATCAATGCCAGAGCCCCGCCAGCAGGCGAGGGAATCCAAAGGCAATTGCTGGGCATGGAGGCCAGAGGGACATAGGCTATCAAGGAGACAAAACTGAACCTCACATCACCCTACTTGGCCCAGAGATGGCTGGTAGTCAACGACGGGTAAGACTCCACAGGGTGGGGCAACCTAAGACAGGCACAGTCGGGGGCCAGTAGGAGAAAACTTGGGGTGCAACAAAGGTGGGGCACAGACCCCCCTCCCCAATGGTGCAGGGGCTTGAACACTCGGCCCTTCTGAGGAAGGTCTCCTGTCCCCATGGCTGCTTCCTGCTTCCCATGCCCAGCTCAGATCGGGACCCAGGTAAAGACAGAGACTGGCTGACAGCAGCTGCCCTCTCACTGCAACAGGACTTGTTTCCCATTTCTACCTTGGACCACAGGGAAAGGGGCAGCTGAAGGAAAGGGCTGTGTCAGGATGCTGCATTCTTCCCTTTCTTCTCCCTCTTTTTTCTAAACACTTCCATGCCTTGTAGTTCTTTTGCTTTCTCTTCTTTTTCTACTACCCTCCATTTTCCATATCAGCTGGATCCAGAGGGCACAGCTTACTCCTCCTCGGACATCGACACCACCATCAAGCACGGCCCTGATGGACCCTTTGATGCAGCCCTTCAACTTGCTGACGCTTCGGGAAGCCTGTCGCCAGTGACGCCGCCCGCTAGCCAGACCAACAAAGACAATCAAACCAACAACTTGAGGACAGCTGTAATCCCTTGACTGAAGAGGCTGGCAACCTTCTACAGGAATGGGGCTCCTTGTGCACTCCATCCACTATGTTTATAGTTATGCTCACTGTCATTGCTTGCCAGTCTCCTTCCGAGTTTTAAACGGCCCAATCTGAGAGGTGGCCACTGATTTGCATGCGCTATCATTTAAAAAATAAAAAAGGGGGAATTTGCCGGAAGCCGGTCCATCCTTGCTGCTTGACACAGTCGCTGCAGGAAAGAAACATCTGCACAGCATATGTTTCAAGGGACCTGGCATATATAGCATACTGTTCTTAATATGTTTGCTCCCCTTAGCGCTGTGTGTTTTAACCAAGGTCACCTCTCCAAGAAAGGTTGTTTCCCCAGGTAGGAATTTTTCCCTGAAGTCAGGGAGGGGATGCCTCTCCTAGAAAGGTTGTTTTCCCAGGTAGGAATTTTTCCCTGAAGTCAGGGAGGGGATGAAACTCCTTAACTAAGTGCCAGGCGGGTAGTTAATCACTACAAACAATCATGCTTAAGCTACATAATCTTTACTCCCTGGAATGGAGATAAGAAACGCCCTAACCTTTGTAATAGAAATTGACAGGATTAAAATCAACTGGTATAAATACGGATGTAACAAGACAATAAACAGCAGAACTTCGCTGGAGATCCTGGCTAGAGATCCTGGCTAGGCTGCTGATCAACTGAACACTGTCTCCGTGTCCTTCCTTCTTCGCCGACTCCATCCACACCTTTGGGGACCCCTGGACCTGCTGGGGTTGGACCCCGGCAACCTACAATACCCAGAATTATTTTGAAAAGCAGAATGAAGTTGGAGGACTTAACCCACCAGAGTTGCAGGCTTACTTGAAAGCTGCCTCAAAAGCACGTGGGATCACCCCACAGCTGGCTGTGAAGGTAAACGGAGCCGGTCCAGAAACAGACCCAAACACATACAGCCTGTCTATTTCCAACAACGGTGCCCTGGCAAGTCAGGGGGGAAGGGTCAGTCTTTCCATCAGATGGGGCAGCAACAATTGGATAACCCATGTGCAAGGAAAGTGTATTGACCCTAACCTCACACCACACATAAAAATTAGCTGAAAATGGATCACAAACTTAACTATAAAAGCTAAACCTACAAAACTTCCAAGATAGAGACTATCTTAGTGACTCAATTAAAAAAAAAATCAATGAAAAAATATCGTTAAGTGAGGATTAATAAAATAAAACCTGATCAACTGAAATTTATTAAAATTAAAAAAATCTTTTGCTCTTCAAAATAAAGCTAAAAATAAAAGATAATAAAATGAAAAGGTAAGCCACACACAGGGAGAAATCTTTGCAAAACAAATATTTGATAGAGGACTTGTATCCAGACTATAAACAGAATTCTTACTACTCAATAGGAAAGTAACACTGCCCCTCCCCCCAAAAATGGGCAAGAGACTTGAGCACATATGATGGCAAAAAGCACATTAAAAGATACTCAACACCATTAACCAACGGGCAAACGCAAACTAAAACCACAATGAGGTATCCCTGCAAAGCCATCGGAATGGCTGAGCTTATGATGGACAAGGCCTAGTGTTGGCCAAGGTGTTGCGAACTGGAGCTCTCACGGGCTGGGACAGGCGTGCAGAGCGGGGCACCACTGGGGAGAACAGCTGGGCAGTTTCCTGTGGTCGCCGCACACACGACCTCGCCAGCAATTCCCTTTCTAGGCACCTACTCAAGAGGGAACAGGGAACAGGTCCATGAAGGACTCAGACTAACATGCTCACCTCAGCATTCACATCCCAAACCGGAAACCCCACCACCAGCCACGGTGAGTGGACATCCACACGGTGTCCTGCTCCTCAGCAACGAAAAGGACAAACTACTGATGGGGCCACGGGAGCTCGCAGCGCGTGCTCGGGAAGGACGCCGACAGAGTGCGTGCGGCGACTCCATCCGCGCGGCCTCGTGGGAGGACAGCACTCAGGGGCCGAGCAGCTGGGCCGGGCAGGGCTGACCCGAGGCCGCGGGACTCTCCCGGGGCCGGAGCTGCTCTGGGGGGATGGGGTGGTGAGGGTCTGAGCGTACGTTCCTCAGAATTCTCGCGTGGCACCCTGATTTGGTGCCTTCTGTTGTATGTGAGTAAATGTACCCCATAAAGCTTTCACAAAGAAAACAGGAAACGCCCTTCCACACCAGGGCGGAACCCAAACAGCCCGTCCTCAGACGGGGACCTCCTGGCGGCTGAGCCCGAGGGCCGTGTCCCCTGGACCGCTACCTGATGCCGCAGAGCCGGGTCCAGGTGGGGACTCCCTGGGCAGGGGCCCCGGGGACAGGTCCCTGGCAGAGAAATGGTTGTTCTCCCCGCTGTGGCCTGGAGCACACTGCTGGGAGTAAGAACACAAGAAAACACATTAGCATCTCAAGCATCATAAGACAAAATACCTGGGAGATCTTTACCGTCACCTGTTAAACAGAATAAAGTGCCAGGGGTAACTGAGACGGGGAACAGGTCAGCCTGGCCCTGAGAACGGGGGCCAAGTCCCTGTGCATGTAATTGTCAGGTACCACTGATCTGTGAGCACCGATGACAGCCACAGAACGTGCTGGTGGGTGCTTTAAGGCTTCTTGTCATTCAGAAAAGATGTGCTGAACTTCTGTGTGTTCTAGGCAGTGTCCCAAACCCTAGGAACAGAAGGTGGACGAAGCAAAGGCCCAGCCATCTTGATCTCCTGGGGGAGGACTCCGTAGTGTGACTGCATTTAATCCTCAGAGTAAGCCAGGAAGTATTAATCCTTCCATTTTTCAAAGAAGCAGCAAAGGCAAAGGCAGGCTAAATAACGTGCCTCCATGAGCCCAGCTAACGGGACGGGCTGGGACGCGGGCCTGTCTTGTCCGGCGGCCCAGGCTTCACTCGCCGGCCCCGCCTGGCCTTGGCGTCCGGCAGGCGCACTGGGGTCAGGCTTCCACACCGGGCTCCCTGGCTGACCCGGGCGGACTGTCCTGACCTGATGCTAGGCAGGGCGCTTCGCCTGGGAGGGAAGCGCGAGAGAACTGTTAGCTCACGCTCGTCCTGGCTCCTGCCCACAGGCTACCTGGTCACCGGAGAACCCCTTTCAGGGCAAGGATGACAAGCAAAGGAAACGGACTCAAAGCCCTCATTTCTGAAACTGACCAGCACACGTGAGACTACGAACTGCCTGCTGCACTGACGGTGCCGACAGCCTCTGACCTGCCCCTTACACAGCTGCCATCGCGTAACTGCGCTCGAAAAGTGACATTACTGGAGTCACGCCTTGTCAGGACGGCTTACTCCTGTCTTACCCGACCACCCCTCAGCTGTAGGTAAAACGCACTTTAGACACAATGAACATATTGAGTTTAGTGCTCGGATGTCAAGTTTTAAAGGAGGAAAAACTTAGTTGCTATAGAACATCTGAAAGCACTTTGGGAAACCACACAAGTCTAAGCAGCCAGGACGCAGCAGCTTCTCATTCCGCTTCACACAAAGTGCATGTTTCTGGAGCCCAGCGCTCAGCCTCCGCCATCACCACTCAGCCACCTATGCTGCGCCCAGCGAGACCCTCTGCCCGACCCTCTCCAGTCGTGTGCGGAAGCCTCCGGGCCCACACCCTCACCTGCTCTGCAGACTCGCAGGACGGGGGCCTGTCCTCCTGCAGCAAGGCCAACTGCAGCGGCGAGCTGCCCCTGGAGCTGGGCGGGCGCCCTGCGCTCTGCGTCTCCCAGCTCTGCCCAGAGCCCCTCTGGGTGGTGACTGGAGGTGGTGGTTCCATACTGGGAGCTGCTGTTGGTACTGAGGGTGGCGTTTCAGAAGGGCCTGCTGCACCCAAATACAGGTATGGAGAGAACGACGGTGCCCACAGAGGGCACACAGAGGGGCCAGGCAGCACAACAGTTAGGAAAGTCTCCGTATAAGGTGAAGGCACATCTGGGAAAGGCGGGCAGTGCCCCCCCGGGGCCACAGTGGGCAAGGGCAACGCTGGCACGAGGTAAGGGAGGGCCTGGCTGGGAGCCACCACCGCCGCTGGGAACGCCAGGCCGGGGGCATGGAGAGGGGAGGCAGGGGGCAGGCTCCAGGGCTGAGCGTCCTGGACGTCCCTTCTGAAGTGGGGACAGCAGGCGTCCCCCGCACACCGGCTGCCCAGTGGCTCCGGCAGCTTCTTCCGCTTGTGCTTCCCCTTCTTGCCCCCAGGAGGCCTGGCCTGCCCGGGAGAGGAGGCTCCTGAGGACAGAGGGTGCCGTGAGGAAACCACCGGGAGGGAAGGCTGCCGCGCAGGTCCCGCAGGGAGAGGCAATGCCGCCTCCGTCACGCAGCCGGGAGCGCTGCTACAGGACAAACTCCTTTCAGCTCCTCGCTCGGCCCTCGCCCGTTCCCCACCCCCATCTGCCAGCACGGACACACGGCTGTACACGGAGGGCTCGTGGGCCGATGGAGTGTATTCGAAGGACCTGAACTACCTTGACCATCTGAACACGTGGCCTGTCCTCTGCCTTCGTGCTGCAGGTAGGAGCTGTAGGGGGAGGACAGCATCTTCTCCCGGAACCTGTCCACGTAGTCCTGCTCCTCCCTCTGCGTGTGTGCCGACAGCACGGCCTTGGTGAGCCCCACGTGCTGAGACTCCTCTGCGGTCAACGGGGCTGGCAGGGTGCCGGGCGCCCAGGGCTCGCAGGCGGGGGCGGCGTCCTCGGCGGGAGTCGGTTCTGCTGAGGTGGCAGAAGAGAGGTTAATGGTCATTGCTACCAACTATTTGCATTTATTTTCACCAACTCAATGACCTTTTGATAAATTTTACAAACACTGTTACAATAGCTGGAATATAAAAAATTTCATCAACTAGCACGTACTTTTATTTTTTCTGCCTGTCTTTACACTGTGTGCCTGTATAGATGCTTTACAGCATTGTAATACTCAATGTGTAGACATATATTAACTAGAGGCCCGGTGCACAAAATTTGTGCACTGGTGTGTGTGTGTGTGTGTGTGTGTGTGTGTGTGTGTGTCCCCTCAGCCCGGCCTGCGCCCTTCTGCAGTCTGGGGCTCTCACAGTACAGAACCCCTCGCTCCTTACCGCCTGCCTTCAGTGGAGGTGGGAGAGGCTCCCACCACTGCCGCTGCCCTCGCCAGCCATGGGCCTGGCTTCTGGCTGAGTGGCGCTCCCCCTGTGGGAGCGCACTGACCACCAGGGGGCAGCTCCTGCACTGCGCACCGGCCCCTTGGTGGTCAGTGTGCATCATAGTGACTGGTCGTTCCGCCGGTCATTCCACCGTTTGGTCAATTTGCATATTAGGGTTTTATTATATAGGATTAAAATCTTGCTTTTATTGTAAATATCTATCTCCCTGAACTCTTTAAAATGTTTCTTTTTTATCTTTTAGTTTTTAATCTGTAATGTATTCACATGGTTAAAAATGAACAGGCGATCTTTGGCTCATTAGCAATGCCACCTAATCCCACAGCAGTTCCGTCTCCGGTCTTTCCCACCAACCACAGTTTGCCTGCCAGGACTGCGCTCTCTATCTCTGGGGGGTGTGAGCTCCGAGGAGCTAAATCTCTGCGACGGGCAAAGGACAGGGAGTGTACACGGTCAGCTCAGCACGTGCTGACTGACTCGCCACGGAACTAGCACGGTCAGCTCAGCACGTGCTAACTCACCACGGAACTAGCAAAGATAAGTTAGAGCTCATCCGAAAACCTGATTTAACACGTCACTATTTCTTCACCCACCAAATTGCTATGAGTAATGAAAAAGTCAAAGAATAGGAGGCCATAAAAAGGAATAAGAAGAAGACATCATTCAAGTAATTTACCAAGTCATATACTGTTAAAGAAGGAGCGTGGTCAGACCCACACGGAACTTCCTGTGTATACGTATGATCTCTCTAGGCCAACGACAGCCCAAGTTTGAAACCTTCTTTCCAGGTCAGCAACGTGGCCCAAGCTGCATTAGTGACTCTGGTTGAGGGACGTAAGAAATTCAGTCCAAAATGTATGTACACAGATAACCAGTGTGACACTTCCCAAAGCTGAGAAGTTACTACTAAGTAAACGGTACAAATGACTGTCTCACAGTAGCATGTCCGTGTGGCGTGTATCTGAGGTCAAAGGTGATGTGGTACCTGGCTCTGGGGGCGGGGCGTGGACTATGGTGCTGCTGTAGCTGCACTGGCTGATGCCGGAGCCCAGGCTCGGCGCCGCCCTGGCCTCGGTCCGCGCAGCTCCGCCCTCGGCACCGGTGGACCGTCCGTGAGCGGGCACTTCTGGTGAAGGGACTGATGGGATCCGAGACGCAGCTGGGGATGTGAGAGAGGCTGACGGTGAAAAGAAAAACTCCCGACAGGAAGCGTATGTTAGAGACCAAATGGCTTACAGACGCTGATAACATAACCACCACCCCCGGGCCGTAAAGAGGACCGGGGAACTCGGATCATGTGTGATTACGATGGAATACTGGAAGTTGGAAAATTAAAGAGAAACAGAGGGCGGGGTGGCTTTGCCGTAACTTCTTATCCGAGTACGAAGGGCGTCCCCGCTACCTCGCAAGGCGTGGGCACCGTCTGCCTCGCGGGCCTGCCGGTCGTCTTCTGAGGACGAAGTGGTGTTTGTGCAGGAGAGACACTTCCTCTTCAGAGCTGGGGCGCGGCAGCTCCTCAGGTATCTGCAAGGACACAGGAGGGACAGGCTGAGGGCGGGACTCCCCCCACCCTAACGGCTCTCCCTCTGCTTTTCTCGCACCACTTCTGTCTGGGAAACATGTACTTCCTTTTATGTATTCGTGTATGGAGTACATCTGACAGGTAACACTGCGTGTATCTAAGGCAGTGATGGTGAACCTTTTGAGCTCGGCGTGTCAGCATTTTGAAAAACCCTAACTTAACTCTGGTGCCGTGTCACTACAGAAATTTTTTGATATTTGCAACCATAGTAAAACAAAGACTTATATTTTTGATATTTATTTTATATATTTAAATGCCATTTAACAAAGAAAAACCAACCAAAAATGAGTTCACGTGTCACCTCTGACACATGTGTCATAGGTTCGCCATCGCTGATCTAAGGTGTCCAGTGTGTACTCTGACCTGTTTACAAAATGTCCCATTATCGCCCAACTATTGATCACCTTCCACAAGAGAGAGCCATGTTACTGTGTGTTCACCATACTGTTCGTCACATCTCCACGGCTTATTTACACTCATGAGAAGTCTGTGCCCTTAAACACCCTCCACGTCGGCCCACCACGCTGCTGCAGGCGGGAGGACATTTCCTTCCTCTCGGCTGAATAACATCCGACTGTGCACAGACCACACTTTAAATCCACCGGCTGACGGGCATTCGGTTGTTTCCGTATCCTGGCTATCGTGACAATGCTGCGATAAACATGGGAGTGCAGCTATCTGGCCAGAACCCTGCTTCATTTCCTTTGGGAACATAGCCGGAAGTTGAACGGCTGGACTGTATGACAGATTTTTAATTTTTGACGAGCTTCCGTACTGCTTCCCACGGAGGTTGATCTACGTTTCCACCAGCAACGTGGAAGCTTCCTTTCCACATCCTACTTCCCGTCTTCTCGATGGTGCCCACGCTAACAGGTGAGAGGCGCCACCTCGTTATTGTGGCTGTGCTTTGCTTTCCCACGATGGTTAGTGATGTCGAGCATCATCTCACGTGCGTGTTGGCCATTCGTGTCTCCTCCATGGAGAAATGCCTATTTAGTTCTCCTGCCCATTTTTAGCTCAGACTGCTTTTTGTTGTTGCTGAGTTCTTTATACTTTCTTGACATTAACGTCTTAGTGACTCCGGGTTTGCAGCACGTTCTCCCGTTCCATAGGCCATCTTTTCGTCTTGTCTCTTCGATGAGCCTGTGCAGAAGCTCTGGGGTTGGATGAATTCCACTTGTTAATATTTGCTGTTGTCCATATTTGCTTTTGGTGTCATATATATATAAAAAAATCACTGCCAAGCATAGTATCAATGAGCTCCTTCCCCGTCTTCCCCCAGGAGTGTAATGGTACCAGGTCCTATGTTTAAGTGCTGGCCCGTTCTGAGTTAATTTTTCTGTGTTAGACAGGGTCCCCTTTCACTGTTCTGCACGCGTTTCTCCAATTTGCCCAGCAGTTTGTTAGAGGAACTTTCCTTGTTCTGTCGGGCACTCTCGGCTCCCTTGTCAGATGTTAACTGAACATACACACCAGGATTTAACTTTGGGCTCTCCGTTCTGTCCCATTGGTCCATGTGTCTATTCGTGTGCCTGTGTCACACTGTTTTTATGACTGTAACTGTAGTATAGTTTGAAATCTGGAAGTGTGATATCTCTGCATGTCTTTTTCCCCGTCAGAATTGCTTTGGCTATAAGGGGTCTTTTGTGACTCCACAAGAATTTTAGATTGTTAATTTCTGGAAAGAATGCCTTTGATGGGGATGGCACTGACTCTATAGACAGCTTTGGGTAGTCTGGCCGGTTAACAATATTAATTTTTCCTACCCATGAACATGGGATGTCTTTCCATTTGCTATGTCTCTAATTTCTTTCAGCAAAGTCTTGTAGTTCTCCTTGTACAGATCTCTCACTTCCGTGGTTAAATTTATTCCTAAGCATTTTATTGTTTGGATGATATCATTTCTTTTTCAGGTGCTTTGTCTTTAGTAAAAAAGAAAGCAATTGATTTTCACATGTTGATTTTGAATCCATCACTTTACTGAAACTGTAATTCCAACAGCTTCCTGACTCTGGGATTTCCTACATACAAGTTCATATCATAGCTAATAGCACCAATTTTACCTTTTCTTTTCCAAATTGGATGCCTTTTATTTTGTTGTCTTGCCTAATTGCTCTAGATAGGACTTCCAGTATTATATTAATTGTTGTTACTGAACTTAGAGAAACCACTTTCAATTTTTCTCCAGTGAGTATGTTAGCTGTGAGTTACTGTATATGGCCTTCACTATGTTATGTTCCTTCTATACCCAATCTGTTAAGGGTTTTTATTATAAAAGGATGTTGTATTTTTCAAATGCTTTTTCTGCATTCCAGGGATAAATTCCACTTGGTCATAGGATATAATCTTTTTAACATATAATTAGCTAATGTTTGTTGAGAATTTTTGCATCTACATTCATCAAGGATATTGGTCTACAGTTTTCTTTCCCTGTGGTACCCTTCCCTCTTTTGGTAGCTGACTGCCCCTTCCTGGATCACCCATCCTCTTAGGCTGGCTTTCTGCGTGGTACCCGATGGCGCTCAGAGGGTTTATGCACTTTTAAAAAATCCGAGTTCTCGCTTTCCTTCAACCTTCATCACTTCCAGATTCCCATCTCGCACCTCATTAGCCATCTCTTCCATCTGACCTGCTACATTTCCAACGCCTGCTTTATCTCATTCATTGAATTCTCCAGTTCCAGGGTTAGTGTGGTTATTTTTTGGAATTTTAATCTCTTTGGTGAAGTCTTCCTCTATCTTTAGCTTCACTCCTGAGAGCATGGCACTGCCCTCTGATCTCTCTGCAGCTTGCTGAATTTCTTCCCAACAGCTGCTCTGAATCCCCGACCAGCTGGATGCCTTTCGGGTGGAGCTGGCTGCTGGGAAATGGCTATTTCCTTTCTGTGATCCTGTACTGCGTGCTTTTCATGGTGTTTGATGGAAAGTGCATCCCCACTGCATCTGAAGCAGCAAACACCGTTCTCATTGAGACAAGGCCTGGTTGATTCTAACAGTTCAACAGGTTGGCAATTAGACGCTTCCTTTCATTGTCCACAAGGTGGGGATACGGCCATGTTTTTGGTTTGTCTGACCTGAGCTAAGGTTGAGAGTACATGCATTTTAACAAAGCTGCCAAAAGAGGAAACACAAGGGTGGGAGTAGCCGAACCGGTTTGGCTCAGTGGATAGAGCGTCGGCCTGCGGATTCAAGGGTCCCGGGTTCGATTCCGGTCAAGGGCATGTACCTTGGTTGCAGGCACGTCCCCACTGTGGGGCGTGCAGGAGGCAGCTGATCGATCTCTCTCATCGATGTTTCTGACTTTCTATCCCTCTCCCTTCTTCTCTGTAAAAAATCAATAAAATATATTTGAATACAAGGGTGGGAGTAGAGCGGGGAGAATTGTGTACTTGGCACTTGGGGCTTTAGTGTGCCCTGGCCCGACAGAGAGATGCTCAAGTTGGGTTGGGGTCCCCAGAGGTCCGTGGCAGAACTCTTGCCGGAATCCTGGGCCCTTTCCTTCAGTTCTCTCTCCTGCCTACTCCCCATGGCTTTCCCTGCACCCCCACCCCCCCACCCCGTCACTGTGGTCTCTCCTCAGAGAGCAGAGATCCCTTCAACTGCAGACCCAGGGCTGGGCTGACCCCCCTCCCCACCTTCACCCTCCACCTCCTCTGCCACAAAGGTCCTGCCTGCCCATGGCGCTGCCCTCTCGCAGCCACTCCCATGGTCCACGCCACCCACTCTCAGGTGCACAGGTGGGTGGATCTCTCGGTGTCCGGTCTGCTGTGCGCGGCACTTTTCACGGTGATGGATGTCCAGTTAGTTGGAAATTGAAGGAGAGAGAAAAAGCAACTCATGCTCCCAAGCTGCTGACTTGCACTTCCTTTTGATGGGGTCCTCCCTGGCCATCGGCTGGAGTCACTGGTGTTCCCTCTCTTTTCCCACGGTCTTGAATTGATCTTCACATCTTACATCCTCTCCATTCAACAAGCAGAGGCCTTGTCTTCTCAACCATTCCTTCCAAACCAGGAATGCGTCTTCTGTCTGCACCCCGGAATACTGAGCATGTCATGGATGGTATGTGAGGGGCAGTCCATGGTATCTACTGATTTACAGTGAAAAACCAAGACACCGCTATTAAAAATGATACCAGGGCTCCACAGGGGCCATGTATGCCTTTGGAAAAACATGTTCTCAAAACGCGGGCTTCCTACCTGATGACACTGTCGATGCAGTTGATTTGCTGGTAGGAGGGGCTATGCTGGTCTTTCCTCAAACCCTGACAAGACTCAGTGCGCACGCTCTCATTCTTCCAGGGCTGTACGGAAGAAAAGGCCTTCTGCTCACCTAAAAGAGAATGAAAGCATGTACAATGACAAGTGCATTATTTTTAAGAACATATATTCAGCAAGATTAAATCACAGTAATTTAGAATAAATATATTCAATAGAATACCATGCAGCCATTAACAATGAGCACAGATCTAAATGCACTGACACGGAAAGGTGTCCACACCTGACCTAATGCAGCCCCCAGCTTTCTCTGATCCTTTTTGGCACAGTCTCTCTCTCCTGGCCTTTTGTTCTTAACCGGGTTTTGTTTTAAAGGATGGATTCTTACAGGTGACATACATCTGCATCTTCCTTTTTCATCTGCTTTGATCGTTCCCATCTCCTAACCGGTAAACTGCGTTCACGGTCAGCGTGACTACTGACACAGCTGGACTCATACAAACCATGCCAGCTGTTTTCCACTTGCTCCAGCTGTTTTATCACCGTCTCTTTTTACCTCCTTTTTATGCCTCATGTTGGGGTGTTTTAAATTCTATTTTATCTCCTCTGCTGACATTATTTCCACTTCTTTAAAAACTTTTTGTAATAACTGTTCTAAAGTCTACAATATGTCATTCAGGATTCAGTTTCTACCTCCAAATGACACTACCTCAGGTGCACTTTAAGGACGTTACGATGGCACAGCCCAGGGCCTGCAGTTTTCACATGAACCATGAATGCAGAACGCGGTTTTTGTTTCTCAAAGTTGCCTTTTAGAACGATTAAAAATAAGTGAAAAGTAGAACTGACTTTGCCTTCGTTTATTCCATTTCCAGCGCTTTTCATTACTTTGTATGGACTTGAGTCTTAAGCCTGTATTGTATTTCTTTTACCTTTAGAAATCCCGTTAGCATTCCTTACAGAGTAAAGCTGCTGGCAATAAGCTCCCAGTTTTTATGTGAGGAAATCTTTGTATCTCCCTCACTTCTGAAAGACAGCTCCCAGCAGGTGTAAAACTAACACCGGCAGTTTTTCCTTTGAAGACTCTATTGTCTTCTAGGCTGCACGGTTCCTGAAGAAGTGTCGGCTGTCATCCTGACCTTTGCTTCTCTGGACATAACCTGTGCTTTCCTCCGGCTGCCTTGGAGCCGGCCTTTTTCCTTTCAGCAGTCTGACTAGCTATGCTCCCGTGAGCGGTGCTTTCTTTGTGGCGGGTGTCTTTCTTTTTCTGTTTTTGGTGTTTCCACTACTCAGTGTTCTCTGGATTTCGTGGGAAACCTTGGCCAGTATTTCTTCAAGTATTTCTTGTGAGATTCTAATTATTCATCTGGTAGAACACTTGATACCGTCCCTCATTCTTAAGATGCTCTAGTCTGTATTTTTATTTCTCACTGCGTTTCGGTTTGTGCAGTTTCTATTTTTCTATCTTCAAATTTACGGCTTCTTTTCTCCATCGAGTGCCCGCCGCAGGCATCTATTCTTCTCTGTCTAGCACTCCTAGCTCTGCCATGTGGTCGTGTATGCTCCATCTCCATGCTGTGATTGCCCAGGGAGGCCTGCATGTTGCCTACTTTGTCCATTAAAGCCTTTAATGTGTCATTCACAGTTACGTTAAATTCCCCGTCTGGGTGTCCCAGCACCTGTGTCATCTCTGACTCTTCATCTGACGACTGCTCTGTCTCCTGGGAGTTTTTGCTTTTCCATTTGCTTTCTCATCTGTTGAAACATCTTCCTTTTTTGATGGAAAAGGACAGTAGAGACTGGGCGAGCCCTCCTGCTAGCCCTGTGTTTGAGTTAATCTTGTTAAGGTTTAGGCCCGGGTGCAGGTGGGCTGTTGCCATGGTTTTGCTCGATGTGCTAGGTTTCCAATTGCTCTGAAGACGCGGTGCTTCAGGGGGCTGTTTGCTGGACGGCTTTTTCCAGCGCTTGCTCCACTGTCAGCTTTTGGTCTTCCCTTGCATCGCGCCTCAGAGAACGTCTGTCTCTTGCCAGTTACTTGCTTCGGTTCCCAGCGCGCCAGCACCCAGTGCGTGCGTCCCTTCTCCCTGCAGGTGTGGTCTCCCCTCAGAATCGGGCCTGCTGGCCGCCCTGGATCCTCAGCACCGACAGTTTCAAGAAAGACCAGGAGCCTGACGGGTGCTGCTCAGTGGCTGAGCGTCGACCATGAACCAAGAGGCAGCCAGTTTGATTCCTGGCCAGGGGTTATATCCGGGTTGTGGGCTCCGTCGCTGGAGGGGGTTGCAGCAGGCAGCCAACCGGTGATGTTTCTCTCTCACCGATGTTTCCACCTTCCTATCCCTCTCACTTCCTCTCTCTCTAAAAATCAATAAAAACATCTCAAAAAAGAAAAGGAAGACCATGAGCTTGCGATCCGTCTGGCTTCCTTCCTCTGCGTTTGGAATGATGCTCACCCCAGCTCTCCCTGCGCGGAACCAAAGCGCGCGCTCTCTCTGAGTCACTTCCGTTTACAGATTGTGTTTCCACGCGGGCTTCGCGTCCGCCCAAAGAGGGACGTTCAGTGTTCCCTAATTCCCCAGTTACTGCGCCGGCACTGGCTTCGGTCCATGGAGCTGATGAAGGGCTTTCTCTCCTTGTTGCTCCCTGCCCCTCCACAGTAAGTTCTAAAGTGTCCCTTCTTACTGTTCTTTAAAGGGTAGCCTGCCCTTGTAAGAAAGGTAAACCCAAAAACCTAACGCCCGCCGTGCCTGTTGGCTCAGCACCCTGTACATGAAGCTGCACACAATGACCATTCAGTGTTTCACTGGTGTGAGTCACCACTCACTTTCTACTGTTCAAGATGTAGCATTTTATTCTCGCGTTGCACACTGATTTCTCTTGAGTAAGGAGCACTAGATTTTTTTCACTAGGTTCTTTAAGCTTGTAGGTTTTAAATGTTAATAAAATCAAGATGCCCAGCCAGTGTGGCTCAATGGTTGAACATCAAGCTATGAACCAGGTCACTCATGCTTGGGTTCCATGCTTGAGCCACAGTAGGGGGCGTGCAGGAGGCAACCAATCAATGATTCTCTCTCGTCACTGATGTTTCTATCTCTCTCTCCCTCTCCCTTCCTCTCTGAAATCAATTAAAAAAAAAAAATATATATATATATGAGTTCTCCCAAGTCATACCAAATGGCAATGGATTTTCCTTCCCATCCTATGTGTCTGAGTCAAGTGCAGCATAAATATAAGGAGCAGGGAAATTTCAGTGTCTAAAATAGCAACCCAGGTACACGGTGAGGTCCAGCTTAGCCTTTATCCAGTGATAAAGGACGGCAGACTGAGGTCTGCTGAAATATTCAGCCTCCCAACACCAGTCCTGATGTGTTACCAGGCGACGGGCGAGAAGAAGCTGAGCAAAGCGAAGCAGGAAGGGAGAACGGTCTCCCCTCGGAGAAACACAGACGTCAGGACACCGAACTGTGGCACCAACACGAGGCCTAGGCCAGGGCAGCCCACGTGGCACTGACTGGACCAGATGACAAAGAAAACAGTCACAAAATGTAGATTTAAAATCTACGCAAAGACTTTTCTCTGCCAAGACATGGGATAGTGATCCGCATCAAGAAAGATGTTTAAGACGAACTCTCCTGTAGAGAGGAAACCTGATGGTTTCAAGGGGCAGGAAAAGCTGTTCCTTGTACTTGTGCCCTGCCGTCCACAGAAGACAGAGAAAGCTCCACCCTGGTGAAGAACACAGGGAAGGATGGACTTGCTAGCCCCGCGGGCACCCTCTGGCTCCAGGGGAGATCACTGCAGGCGCAGGAGTCTGATGTGTGCTGTGCAGATCATGCCCAGGCCAAAATACAGCAGCCATTATCACTGCCCTTGGAGACAATGCCACCTCTGCTCTAAAACAGCCGCATCTGACAATGACAGAGACCATGGATCACACTGAGGTGCCCCAGGTCTGTAACGACTCCCCAAATTATATTAATGTTCAGGGAGAGAGATAAAGGGAAAGTTAGCTAATTAAAAGGTCAATATAATTTGATGTCTACATTATTGGACTTTCCTGTGCCTTATATGCAAATCGGTTAAATTTTCAAAATAATGCCATTATCACAACTAACTTAAAAGCTGATTCTTTTGGAGCACTGCTTACCTATATTTGAGGAAAGTATACGTGTGTCAGAAAAATGCCAAGTTTTTCATTCAACTCAGGTCTTGAGCATTGTCCACACGTTTGAAGTGACACAAAGGGATTAGAATTTCTGAAACGTGTTCTAAACTGACTCCTGGTTTGCGGAGAGCTCACGGGCGGAATCTGTGAGTGTGCTGGTGTTGCCAGAAACATCGCCTCTTTAGGAGCCGTAGCTGTAACTACCTTCCCATCCCCCTCAGCTTCCGGGCCAGTACTTGCTGCTGCCGCTATCACCACGATCACGACGAGACAAGTGATGATGGAAAGCGCAGCACACACCCATGTCCACGCGGAGGCCAGACGTGGGGGAGGCTGGGGCCCCGTTGACTCACCACTGGGCCGTCCTGCGTGCGTCCCCACCGCTGGCTTGTTGGGTGGTTTGGCCATGGACTCGATGAACAGCTGCTGCCCCAGGGTTTTAATTTTGTTTATACCGGCATAGACCTGCTGCAAAGTCAACTTGGGGAAAAGAGCGAAATATGTCTCACATATTATCACATGAGCATTACAAGATGCACGAGCAGAATACATGAAACTTCTGGTCCCCCGAACACGTGGTGAGGAAAAGCACAGCAACGGCCTTGATTCCGTTTCCCACCCGGTTCACCTGACAACACACATCTGTGCACAATCTGCTGGTCTGCAGAAAGCACACTATTAACGCAACCACCACTTCCCAAGGGGAGGTTTTCTTTTTAGGTTCCCACGCCAGGGTGGGTGGGAATGGCTCCCAGCAGGCAGGGCTGTAGCCAGCACTGCGAGTACTGCAGGTGCCAGGGTGGAGGACGGGGTGCCAGCCACTCACCGGCTCCTTCTGGGCGTCCTCCGCCCCTGGCCCGCTGGACTCGCCGGAGGAGGCCACGCTGACGTGCTGCTCCTGGGACCCGCTGCTCCCCAGGCTGCCGTAGCCACTGGAGGCGCTCCCGTGGACTGGCTGCGAGGACACAGGTCTGATTTGGGGGTTACTATCTTGCGGTTGGGGCGGGGGGGACGCAGCATGACCCACTCAGAGCTTACCTAAACTCATCAGAAAATAAGACTGACATCTCCGACACCCTAGAGTAGGCTTGAAGGTTGATGCTTTTAGCCCTATGTCTCACATGAAAGACAGTCCCCTCATTTCAGTAATTTTCAAGGGCAAAGTCTAGTTTCTAATCTAAGAGGGTATTTCTGGAACGAAAAATATTGTTTTAAAGCCACAGCATAATTTTCCTAAACATGAAAATCACTTGTTCTTTATGCTGCGCTTAGAGCAGACAGAACAAATGAAATACACACCCCAGTCCCCACGGACCTGACAGGTGCTTTACGGACCCCAGCGTCTCTGAAGACCTGCCAGGCCAGCAGCACATCACAAGCTTATGACGGAATCTCTAACGGAAACCATTTCGGGTATTTGTTTTCAACAAGCAATTTTTCCTACTTTTGCCTCGTAACAACCAGATACTGAGACCGGCCAGGCTCGCCCCACCTTTAAAATGGGAACTATCCCCAAAACCCCGAACCCGAGGCTGAGCACCGGGGGAGCCTGGGGCACAGGAAGAATTCTCTCGCTCAGAAATGACTTCTGTCTCACCGCTCACTGGGACTCAGTTTCGTTGTCTTAAAATGGGTTTTTACAGAGTATTCTGTGCATTTAACAGAAAAATGAAAAGAAGATTAATAAAGTTTCCTTTAAAAACAAAAAAGAGGAAGACAGAAATTTCTGGAATGCAGAGGGTAAGGATCTTTCTCCGCAGCTTATTTTTGTGAAGTGACTTTACTAGACAGAATGTTAAAATAAAACACAATTATGGGAATTCTCTGTCCATTTTTAAAATCTCCCCCATTTTACCTGTAACAGAAGTTTGTGAATCTGTTCCTGTAATTCCGTTATGTCTTTGTCGTTATTGCCCATCTTGCTTATTCTGGCAGCAAAGACATCCTCGTTCAGCGGGCTCCTACAAAATAGCACATGAAAGACTGGGTCGGGCGATTTAAAATTCATTTACAGCCCGGCCGGCATGGCTCCGTGGTTGAGCATCGACCTATGAAACAGGTGGTCATGGTTCGATCCCCACTGTGGGGGGTGCAGGAGGCAGCCAATCAGTGATTCTCTCTCACCATTGATGTTTCTATCACTCTCTCCCTCTCCTTTCCACTCTGAAATCAATAAAAATATATTTTAAAAACATTAAAAAAATAAAATTCATTTACAATGAAGTCTAAAGTAATCTTAAATATTCAAATACTAAATCTACGCTTTTACAAAGCAACTCTTTGATCCCAAATATAGAAAATCTGCAGCTGAAATTCTATTCAGGTGGGTAGAGAAAGCACCGAGAGATGAACGAGACGGTCAGGCTGCTTGCGTCCCTCGCTGCAGTCTCTCTCGGCTGCGGTCGCTGTTGGTGTAAACCTCGATCATGGCACGGAACCGCCTCAGCTACTGGACCATATTCACAACTGCGGGCCTCACAACGGAACGTCACCTGCGTAACCTACTGCAGGAACCTTAAGACCCTGAGGCTGCCCAACACTGGCTGTTGAAGGTGCCTCCTGACTGAAGCTCTGCAGCCAAGATGACTGCGACACCTCCTGTGGTGAAGTGTGGCCGTCACACCCTTCGCGTCATCTGTGCTCACGTCCTAGAACATGTTAAATCTTCCACCCGAATACAGCGAGGGGCAGGCAAGCCCAGGGGCAGGAAGGAGGACTGCCTGGCACGTCGCCAGGGCCTTCTGAGCGACAGGCACTGTGCTGCTCCCCCCACAGCAGGAGCAAGCCTTCTCCACCCCATGACGCGCCCGGCACTGTGACAAGTGCGCTACCCAGTCCTCCTCCGCCCGAGGTGGCCGCTGCGCCAGGTCCCCCGGCTGCACGAGCACGTGAGAAAGGTGCCTGCGTCCCAGCATGAGGGTGAGGCCTCATTTCTACGCGTAAAAAGACATCAAAGGGCACCGATGGCCCAGCCCAGGAACCTGCAGGTCAACTGTAAACGGGCCAAAAAGTCATGGGACCGGGGGCATCTTAGGCTCCAATACCGGGCCAGGCCGCTCTGGATCTACTTCACCGATTCCGGCAAATGCGCAGGTAACGGTGATCAAACAGGCCTGAGTCAGCCCTGCTGGCAGGAAAGTCAGTACCACAGAGTTTAATTTTTAAAAATAACGATTTAATAAAATAGACACAAGGAAGTGGGATTTGACAGAAGCTGATAGAATAAGTTTTATTTGCTCACTAAGCAGCACTTTAAAATTCTAAAAAGGCAAAAAAAAAAATAAAAAATCTTACCCATAATCCCACTACCCCACACACAACCAAAAAGTCTATTTTATTTCCTTCTAATCTTGTCACATCTCATGGTTAGTGTGTGTGTTTTAGATGTAATTTTAATCATATGGTATAAATAACTTTATATGCTTTTTACATCTAATCTGTCAACTTCCCATGTTCTATAATCTCTGTAAAAATTTTTCTTGACCAATATAACATGTCCAGGAGACATTCCAATTTAGTTAACGACGGACATTTGAGCTACTCTAAGTCGGCCATTATGACTGTGTTGCAAAACCCATCTTTTCTTTATAGCTTTTCTGTGTTTCGCCACCTTTCCCTGGAGCGTCCCCAGAAGGGAAGCATCAGGCCAGGAGGGAAATCACTCGTGGAAACTCCTTGCTGAAAGCACTAGGAGTCCGTCCGTCCGTCCATCCGTCCGCGTGCTGCCTGATCAAGGGGGGGAAGTGGAGGCAGGAATGACACCTGGTAAGAGAGTTTCTAGAAAACGAGGAACCTGGTGGACTCACGTCCGCACTTTGTGCCGGCCCATGATGAAGGACACCTTGCGGCTCCACGGGTCCACGAAGCCGGACCAGCTGGAATCCAGGGTGACGTAGTCGCCGTTGTGTGTGCAGAAGCGCACGGGGCGGTGCTCAAAGGGGGCGTGGCCCGCGGACCGCAGCACTGCACGGAGGGGACGGGAGAGGAACTTACACACACGTGACGACAAACTCACTGTCAGGCAGTTACGGATCAATGTTCAGAACGTCCAAGTAGGAAAAAAAGGAGTGTGAGCGGTTTCCACACCTTGCTCACCAGATTACGGTAAAGATCAGGCTCTAGTAAGAAATGAAAAACAATTCCATCAACGATGAAGGAAAGAACCTCCTCCCCAGGCAGCAGCCCTCACCTTCCTGGTGGACGGCGACCATCAGAGAGCGGTCTTCCGGGTGCAGGTGCGCGAGGATGGACGTGCCGACCAGGTCCTGCGGCAGGTACCCCAGCAAAGGCACGGCCCTGGGCAGACACACAGACCATTGGTGAGATGCAGTTATACTTTAAAAACACTCCTTTCCTTCATTTTAAACTCGAGTCAACAGGTACATACAGACTATGGGGAACAGTCACATAACCTGAGAAAGGCTGCCATCTGCATCGAAAACACGCAGGGCACCTGCTCACACAGACTGGCTCGCCGCAGGCCAACGGGGCGGAATGTTGGGAGCGAGACCGGGGATCTGTGTATTTACAAGTTCCTCAGAGGTCCTCGAGGGCCTCCATTCGCCGCCACTTAAGTTTACAAAGATGGCATCCTCACAGAAACACGCTCAGGATGTTGAAGGAAGGAAGCGCGCTACGCATCTGTACAGTATGATGACAATCACACAAAACGACGCCCTGACAAACGTCATCCAATGATGCAGGCCCAAGGCTCTCGGAAACGGCTCACGCCCAAGGGGCGACACGGCACTCAGGGCGACTGGGAAAGACCCGACTCTACACACACGTTCTCTGTGCACAAGTTCACAAACACTGTCTAAGCAATAACATGCCAGCTGTTTTCAAAATATCCTGGTTAAATTATCCTGCTTTCGACAGATTATATTATACCAAGTGTCTCACCAATTACTACTTACCTCAGGGTAACTGTAAGGAAATAAACCCATTTTTAGATGTTAAGATTTTTAAAAATCAACATTCACGTATCATAACCATGCCAAGTTTTTGACACTTTAGCTTCACACCTCCATGTGGTATGAGGCTTGCTATCCAGGTTTTGAGATTTCATGAATAAGAAAAAAGTTTAAAATAAACGGGGGGAAAATGGAAGGCACTAATCAGGGGGTAACAATGTTTTATCATTTTTTCAAATAAAGATCTTAAAAAACAACAATAAGCAACTACTATTCATTATCACTGTTCTTTCAATAAAAAGGATTATTTTAACACTTAAAGAAGTAGGAAGGACCTAAGTTCAAAATAAATAACAATTATTTAAATAAATTTAGTTTCATACGCACAAAAAAATCTGTTCTTTTCTCTCCCCAACCCCCTTTAAAAAGGAAGTCATGAGCTGGCGGGAAGCAGCTGTGCTGTGGAAATGGCGCTGCAAGAGGCGCGGGGCGGGGCCACCCTGTGATTACATCCCACACGCGCTCTGGCACGCTGGCCCCAGCCGCACCGTCCTCCAGTGTAAACGGAACAGTAACAACTGACTCACCTACAGCAGCTGGGGATCAAACATAACTTTAAATGTGAGAAGTGTCGCAGGCAAGGTATTTACGTTAAACATTTAGACCAAGCATGTCCGCGAGTTTGACGTGCTTGATTTAGACAAAAAATAATTTCAATCTAACAAAAATCAAACAGATAATGGGTAGGTATCACGTATGCAATGTAGGAGCATGTGAGCATACGTAAACCTTTCCGTATTTGTACTTATTCCCAGAAACAAATCTCTCTTAGGCTTAAAGAAGTACTTACCGGTCATCTATTTCAAGAAAAACACAGCCTGGAGTGTGTGTTGTGGTGAAAACTCTTTTATCCACCGGGATCCGAGGAGCTGGGAACAAACATCTAGTTAATCAACCACTTCACGGGAACCGGTGAAATCTCACGTACGGCCAGGCCAGCCGTGGGCAAACTACGGCCCGCGGGCCGGATCCCCGTTTGAAATGAATAAAACTAAAAAAAAAAAAAAACGACCGTACCCTTTTATGTAATGATGTTTACTTTGAATTTATATTAGTTCACACAAACACTCCATCCACGCTTTTGTTCCGGCCTCCGGTCCAGTTTAAGAACCCATTGTGGCCCTCGAGTCAAAAAGTTTGCCCACCCCTGGCCTGGCCTCAGAGCAGCCAGAGCGACATCAGATGGTAATGATTTTCATTATTACTTACATCTTTTTCTCTTTTTTAAAAATAATTTTTAATTGATTTTAGAGGGAGAGAGGGAGGGGAGAGGGAGAGGGAGAGGGAGAGAGACATCGATGTGGGAGAGAAACACTGATCAGGTGCCTCCCACATGCACCCTGACTGTGGAACAAACCCAAACCCTGGGCATGTGCTCCGACTGGGAATCGAACCTGCCACCTTTCGGTGCGCGGGGCAATGCTCCAACCAGCTGAGCCACACCAGCCAGGGCATCATCTACTTTTAATCAGGTCAAATGCCATGCCCACCAGTTAACTTTGGACAGAGGAAGTCTGTGTGCACGGACCAGCTTGCTCATTGCAGATCGTCTACTGGTCAAGCTGGAGCACCTTAGGGTGCAGGAGCAAGCAGCTCAGCACACAGGCCTGGACAGCCCACAGGACGGGAGCGTTGTACATCTGTGTGATAAAGCTGGTCCGGTCAGGTCAGCCACGGCTGCTTTGCAAACGTAGTGGCCAACACATTAGGAAACCATGTGAGCATAATGCTAATTCTGCATTTCTTACGCATGATTTCATTTGCAAAAAAACAGGAGGTGAATGCAGGAAACATCTAACTGAATGGAGTCACTTGGGACTGCACACACCTCACACCCCCACCGCTTCCTCCACGCACTAGTGTCACGGGACGCCTGTCAATCTGACGTCAGAACTTCAGACACCCTCCTCCACCCTCACAATCACCGTGATGGCCCCGCCCACCAGCAGACCGGGGCTTTCCACGGTGGCTATACTTCACATACTTTGTATTTTGTAACTGCCCATCGGTACTTCTTAATCCCTTCACCTTTCCACCCAGTTTCCTCAACTCCCTCCCATCTGTAACCCTGTATTTGTCCTCTGTATCTGTGAGTCTGTATCTGTGATTTGTTGTCCATACGGTCCTTCAGATTTCGCCTATCAGTAAAACCACATGGTATCTGTCTTTATCTCACAGCATAGTACCCTCTATGTCCATCCATCTTGTGCAAATGATAAAATTTCATTCCTTCTCATGGCTGAGTAATATTCCATTACTGAGGCCTGGTGCATGAAATCTGTGCACAGATAGGGCCCCTAGGCCTGGCTGGCAATCAGGGCCAATTGGGGCCTTCCTTCCCTGGCTGCTGGCTGGGACCTTCCTTCATTCCGCACCGCCCCCTGGTGGTCAGTGCACATCATAGCGAGCAACTGAACTCCTGAGGGGGTAATTTGCATATTAGGCTTTTATGTATATAGAAGATATATATACATCTTCTTTATACAATCATTCGTTCATGGGCACTTAGGGTGCTTCCATATGTTAGCTATTATAAACAATACTGCAATGAACACGGGGATGTATATTATCTTTTCAAATTAATGTTTTGAATTTCTTCAGATATACACCCAGAAGGGGAGTTGCTGAGTTATATGGCAGTTCTATTTTCAATTTTTCGAGGAAGCTCCATACTGTTTTCCATAGTGGCTGCACCAATTTCATGTCTTAATCATTGTTATCATTTTCATAGGCTTCTGTCTTATTTTTAACGTGTGGCTAATTCTTCGAGCATTGTGCCCCCAACTTCATTTCCCCAGAAGCCCTGTGGCTCTCATTCTCTGTGAGTTTTCGGCACAGGACAGTCCAGCAGGTCTGACTGCAGTGGGAGCTGCTTCTGACTCACACAGAACATAAGCATGTAGCTCTGCCATCGGGACACATAAGCCCCACTGAAGCGCTTACATTTACACACAGGAGAAACCAGGGGTTTCAAACACTTTAAAAGCATAAAGCCATTCTTGTGACCGCACTGTGCAACCACGTCCATGCTCCTATTTCACGCAAGACAGCGCACAGGGCCGCCGACTGGCAGCAGCAGAGGCGGCGAGGGCCGGCCGCGGCAAGTCCCTGCTGGGCCCTCGCCGTGCGGTCCGTGGAGGGGGCACCGCACAGACGTCCAGGTCAGTAAACCGGCCGCAGTGCGCAGAGTGCAGGCCACGCCGAAGGCCGGCGCGCTGCCTGTCCCCGCGGCAGCGAACGGGCATCCCCAGGACCCCGCCGATAGCAGCCCCACCCCCCACTCACCTTCGTAGCCAGAGTGCATCTTCTCGGCCAGCGCGAGGCAGCAGGGCTCCGGCTCCGGCTCCGGCTCCGGCTCCGACTGCGGCCGCACGTGAATCAAATAGGGAATCACCCGGAACGGGGCGTAAGGCTGCCCTCGGCCGCCGCCTCCGCTGCACGAGAAGGAACAGCTCAGCCAGTGAAACGGCTGGGAAACGCTTCCCTGTCATTTCTGAGACACACAGCCCCATCTAAAACACGTAAATGTATTTATTTTCCGAAGAAGAAAAACGTTTAGAATGTCAGCACCCAAGGGCAAGTCCAGCCACTCGCTCTGCACGCGCAGGCTTGGTGGAGCTGTCGGAGCCCGCGAGTGCGGGATCGGCACCGGGCACTCCACGCCTCTCCCCCCGGCCTCCCCACCGAAACTCCCGCCGGACTCCCTGCGTCCGCTGGGGGCGAGGGCTCTCCGTGCCGGCCACGCGCGGACGGCCCAACAGCCGTCTCCAGCCGGGTTCCTCCCCCAGCGCCAGCCAGACTCAGGTGCCAGTGCCTCGTAGCCACCACATTTTATTGTGAAAGTTAACAGTAACTGATGTAACAGTAACGTGTTGGTAAACTTAGAGGAAAAATTCAGTAAAATTTCTATGAGAAATGAAGGATTACAATGTTGGTCTATTTTCCTCTAGTTTAGTATCTCTGGACCTTATAAATCCTTGTAAATATATCTATCTTGCTTTCTTTCAAATTATTCAAAATGTCAAAAATTAATTTTAAATGTGATGAAACAACAAAAAACAAACAAACAAAAGAGCCCAAACAGTGGTCATTTGAAAGTGTACTGGCCCCACCGGCGTGGCTCAGTGGTTGAGCATCGAACTATGAACCAGGAGGTCATGGTTCAATTCCCGGTCAGGGCACAGGCTCAATCCCCAGTGTGGGCGTGCAGGAGGCAGGTGATCAATGACTCTCTCTCATCATTGATGTTTCTCTCTCTCCCTCTCCCTTCCTCTCTGAATAAAATAATAAAAAAAAAGTGTCCTGAACCACCAGGGGTTCTTACGCCCCCAGGGTAGCCGTGACCTTCCCCTCTCCTCCTGCTGCATCATCATCTGCTCTTCTCAGCGGGGGGTTTCTTCCCCTCAATCAAAAGACAAACTCCTGTGGCAAGAACCAAGTCTTGGCTTTGGTTTCCACTACAGGCCTGGCGAACACAAAAGGACCAACGTAAGAGCCAAGTCCAACCGGATGAGCCGCGTGGCCCCGCAGCCCTCACTCACCGGATCCTGCAGAAAAAGGACTTCACGGGAGCCAGTTCGTACCGCGATGCTGCGGAGACAAAGACAGACCGTCACGCACCCGCAGGGCGACCGCAGAGCAGCCGTCCTCATGGCACCAACAAGACACTGTCTTTAAGACGGAGACGCTGGTGAAGACGGGCCTCCCCTGCCATCCGAGGTGCAGGCGCGTCCGGGGTTCCCAACAGGAGCCCCGGGGGAGGCCATGGGGGTCCGGCTCAGTCCTCCCTTCCTCCTCCCACTGGCCCCTCTGTATTCCCATCGCTGCCGAACTCATCCCTTCCCCGCCAGTGCGATAACCCTCTACATCAGTGTGTGTGGGAACCCGCGTCCCCTGCGATCGCCTGGACACAGATGATACACAATCCTCCTTCCCCGCTCGCCTTCCTTGGACACATTCCCCAAAGTTGTGTTCCTGGGTTCAGGGACGTGATCGCTTAAGGACTCGTGTGTTGGCAAACGAACGGCCGGATGGGACCCCCTGGCAGCGTCGCTGACCACATCGTTCACCATCGCGGCCGTGGTGCGCATCGACTGCGCTGATTTCTGCAGGGACTTCATCGCTCTGTGACGTGGTCCCTCAGAAATGTTTACCAGGAACTGTGCTAACTCCGGGCAGCGGAGGGGCTGGCCTCTCCCAGGGGTTTGCTGGCTGTCTCCTCTGGTCGGAACTCCCTGAATATGGCTTCTGGGCATGTGTTCACTGGAGGGAAAGTCCGGAGTTTAGGAACAAGGAGAAGGTTCGTGCACCGAAGGAGCACAGGCAACGGAAATTCTAAGAACCAAGTCCTGACGGAGGCCCAGGTCTTCTCACTTCCCGGGAAAGGGGCACAGGAGGCGCCGGACACGGGCTTCGGTGACCAGGACAATGCCCGTGAGTACGACGACTCCCGTGTCCAAGCCCAGGCCCGCGGTCAGACTGCCAGCCTGCAGGCAACTGAGTCAGAGCCCAGAGTCCCGACGGCAGAAGACAGTTCTCACAGGGCGTCTGGGGGACCCCGTGAGAGACCCCGGCCATCAGCCGAGTTCGCGACGTGAGGTTATGCTGCCGTCTCGGCGCAGACACTGCTGAGGCGCAGACGCGCTCACGGAGGGTGATGGTGGGCAAAGATCAAACACCCTCCAAGTCCCGAGATGATTTCACAGGCGGGAGCCACCGCCTGGTGCCACTGTCGCACGCTCTTGTTTGTTCACGGCTCCCCGGTGAGTGACAGCCCGGCAGTGGGCGGGGCCGTGGGCAAGAGCAGGGCTCTGGGCTCGTGGCCACGGTGACCTCGGGGAGTCACCTGCTCTGCGCCTGTGACTGTGGTGGCTGAGCCAGGGGCCGGCTCCTGGCTGCAGGGGCACAGGCCGCTCCCAGCCGCCGCCTGTGCACAGCGGGGCCCGAGGCCGGCCGCTCCAGGGAGGCAGCCTCCTCCATGCGCGCCTGCGGCCGGGCCCTCCCTGTGGCTGCCTGGCCACGCCAGCTGCTCTGAGCTGTGGGGGCCAGGACGGCTCCTCCCAGCCTCCTCCCACAGGCGCAGCCCTGCACTGGGTGGGCCCCTCCCGTCAGTCTGCACAGCTAACCCCATCCTGACATTTGCCTCCCGGCTGACCCCAGAGGACAGCTGCCTCACCTGCCAGCGGGGGACGCTGTGGGTGCCCAGGCCTCCCAAGGTTCTTGTGAAGATTAAATCCCCTAAACCAGGAGGAAGAGCCCCGGCACACACACAGGCCCCGTCCGCAGAACGGCAACTACGACCCTGATGCTGTGCAATGCACGAAGCCCCCAGCTTCCCCGCCCACTCGCGGGGACCCTACGGCGGCCCTGGCCCGGGCTGGTCAGAAGCCACTGCACACCGAGAAGCCGAGCGGCCTCCAGGTTCACCAGGGACAGAACTCAGTGCCACACGCACACCAGGTCCCGGCGTGAGATTCTCACACAGAGAAGACACTGAGCTCCATGCAGGCGACTCCCCGCCCCGCTTCTCCGTGACCGCAGCCCCTGCCGCAGCCCCCTCCCTGGAGTCTCTGACACAGGGCCGCCCAGGTGGGGGCACAGACGGCCCTCGGTGGTGGGTGCCACTTCTCCTTTCTGGGTGCATTTAAAGAAACCGTGGTCGGCTCCTCGGCACGACAAGGGGAAGTGAACCGGCTCTACCGCAGGCCGAACACTGAGAGCAGCGGCGGGGCGGCTTCCCACGGCTCGTCATGTCCCATGAGCTCAGAGGGAGGGACAGGTGCGAGGAGCGCGGGCACAGCCCACGAGCTGGGGACTCGACAGCTGCGCTCAGAAGGCAGAGCTCAAGGTCTGCGGGCAGAAGTGCAAGGCAGGGAGCACCCTAGGCCAGTGATGGCGAACCTATGACACGCGTGTCAGAGGTGACACGTGAACTTTTTTTTGTCTTTTTCTTTGTTAAACGGCATTTAAATATGTAAAATAAATATCAAAAATATAAATCTTTGTTTTACTATGGTTGCAAATATCAAGAAATTTCTCTATGTGACACGGCACCAGAGTGAAGTTAGGGTTTTTCAAAATGCTGGCACGCCGAGCTCAGAAGGTTCGCCGTCACTGCCCCAGGCGGAGGTCCTCTCAGTGGAGGAAGTGAAGGGTTAGTGACAAGACAATTTCAGGCCACATTCTGCTCTTACAAGGAGAGGACACCCACAGCAGCAAGCGGTCAGCAAGGAGGAAAAGGTTGGAGAGAGAAGAGGAGACTCCACAGGCGAAGAGGAAGGTGCACACGGGCAACGCGCGCGAGCGAGCAGCAGACACTGTCCGGCTGCTCTGCTCCCGCCTCGACTGCAGCACCCGGGCCGGGGCCCGGCCCACGGGGATCGTGGGTAAATGTTCACGGGAGGAATAAGTGACTAATAAACGCAGAGAAACACTATAAACAATGAAAGGCCGAACGCATGCGTTCAGGACAGAAGAGGAAGGAAATCAGTGCTGCCGCGTGACGGCAACAGGAGAGGGAGCCAGGAGGAAGCCGGACGACAGGTGGGCGTTCCACAGCTCACACCGTCTGTGCGTTAAAGACGGGCCAAGGCCTGGGCCTGGAAAGAGAAGCCGGCGAGACTGCACTGGGCCCAGCACCGGGTTAAAAACCAGGAAGACGCGAGCTCCACTCGCAGGAGAGGCTCGGAGACGCTTCACAGCAGCGAGCGTGCCCACACCACGGCCGCGCGCGAGAGCGGGGTAGCGGCCAGTTCTGTTCATGTGCTTTTCTACAAGAAGTGAAATCACAGAGAAGGACCATCTGTAGCGAGCTCTGTAGGAGACCCTTCACAAAGCGCGACGTGGAAGGGAGACGAAAAGCAGCAGTGACGCGTCACTCAGAGACCACACAGACCGATGTCACAGTCAATGGCAAACAGGCCTCCCAGGTCAGAAGAAAAAGGAATGAGATTCCTGAACTTGCACGGACAAGAAAAGCGGGAGAAGAAAGCTAAGCCTCAGGAGCCTACTCCAAAGCAGAGCTCACACACAATGAGGCCAATATAAGAGGAAGAACATTTCATTCCATTCACTTCCCAGAAGCAGAGCCTTTATAGCAACTAACCTGCTACGCAGGCTGTGGCGATCAAGCTGTGTTATGATTTATACTCTATGAAATCAACTGGACTACGTGAAAGCAAATTTACTGCATCTCTATGTTTTTAGAAGCATTTAAAGTGTTATTGTCATCACACGCTGCTTTTTAAAATAAGGAAGAAAGAAAAGCCGTTCCGCCTGCCTGTTCTGAATGACGCGTGGGTTTCTGCGCCGCCTCTGGGGCAGGAGCGCGACCTCTAGGAGGCGGGGAGACATGTACAGACGGCCGTTACCTCTTTGGGTCCAGCTGCTCCAGACGGGAAGCTGAGCCTGGGCCGTGTGTGTGTAGAACGTCCTCACATCTTGAGGGGCAAGCAGCTCCGCGAAGTGAGAGGACGCCAAGGACTCTCTCCGACAGTTCAGGACGGAAGGCGCCTGCTCGGAGATGTGCACCACCCTCCCAGACACCAATGAGAACACGGCCACGAAGGTGTCCTGTGGAAAGCATGGAAAACAAATGCAAATATTGAGATACTTACTAGCCAGGCCCCCCAAAAGGTAATTCTCTTAGATTTCTACCGTGATCAATAGCTCAGGACACACACGTCCTGCAGATGCAACAGAGCTCTCGACATGTACTTTTAACTGTCACCGCAAAGCCTTCTGAAGGTTTGATTTCTGGGCCAAGAAACACGGCAGCTCCCTCTACAGGACGAAGCACCCCTCCACTGCGTCTACGCCGGCTTCGATCCCTCCTCCTGTGCACACGGTGCCGACACCTGGAGGCTGTCTCCTCTTCACCAAAGCACAGCCCAGGCTTCAGACCAAGCTCAAGAGTCACCTCCAGGGTGTGGTCTTTCACCAGCCTCCTCACCTAAGAGCTGCTTCTCGAATGTGTGACAACAGACATGCACAGGACCTAGCTTAACCACCGCTGCCGCCGCCGCTGCTAGCCTGGCCTACGTCCTCCTCCCTCGCTTGACCTGAAAGATCTGCAAGGGGAAATGTGTCCTTACACTTCCTTTTCTTAAATCTCAGTAGCACCTACTACGTGCTATGAGCACACCAGTCAGTAATGGAAGCACTGCGGCGACATCAGGGATAGCTCAGGTCCCGATATTAGAAAACCGTTTCGTTGCAATTGTGTTGAGATCTAAGCATAAAGGTAAGTAGCCTCCAGCATATCAACAAAACACGAGGTGACGTTATTCTGTCGACAGAGATGCAAAAGGGATATACTACATGTCTCTCCCAACATTTTTAAAGAAACGACAGCATCATCTTGACTCACCTGTGAAATCCAGTTGTTACAACTTGAAGGAGTAGGTATTGGAACTAAGAATGATATAAATAGAAATTAACAATCCGGAGATTAGAAAACGACGCGGGGCACCGCTCTGCGGTGTTATCTTTGTCTTGGAGAGAACTCAGGGATGCTAAGGAGACGGGGCGCCTCAGGACCGAGGCGAAGCCAAGTGCGCCTGCGCTGCTTCCTGCCCGCGGACCTGCTCCCCGCGAGGGACCTGCTCCCCGGCGAGGGCCGGGGCCGCGACACGGGGCCTTTCGGGCAGTTTTCTCCTCCTGTTTACCTCCAGCTGTGGTTACTGCGACTCTTGGTTATTGTTTTTTAAAATCTGTGTCTAGATCAGGCTTAGGGAAATCCCCCAGGAGGAGATGGCAAAATGCGCGGATTCTTACTGTGTTCTTGGAAGTGTGCTCTGCAGCCATGGAGGCCAGCTCCCCAAGACTGTACGTGGTCACATCTGCTTGAGGCGCTCCATGGGGACTGCGAGTCTGGAAAAACTCACTGCTTGCTGAGAAACAGGAAAATAAACAGGGAGTCCAGTGAAAACAGCAGCTCCAGGAAACCACGTTTCTGACGAGCAAAGCTGGCGCTTCTCAAGAGGACACCTCCGTGTTTTCCTCGAAACCAGGTCACTTTCTTCTTTCACCTGAAATACCTATCGCTGTGCAAACTTAAGATCTTGAGTTTTAGGAATCTTGCATGTTCTAGTTCGCAAGGAACAGAACACTGAAGGTCCTAAAGGGGGGACTGAGCCCCAACATTCCAAATGCACACGCAGGGCGTTGCCACGACAGAAGCGTTACTCCGGCCCTCGGAGCCACGCGTCACATACGTAGCCCTGAGGTTGGGCTCGAGATCGTGTACTTTACGAAATCCCGTGAGAAGAAGAGTCAGAGATCGAAAGGAAAAAGTGTTTATAACTGCGCCTTCGTAATTTGGTAAACTCCTGGTACTGCCAGGAGTGGGTTTTAAAAGTATGTGTGAGGCAGGGAAAGTGTGAAACCGGTACTTAGCCAAATGTATTTTCCCCCAAATGTATTTTTCCCCTTAATTTTTGAAGGCGACGCTCCTTCAAAATGTGCTTGTGCTAAACTCGACTCTCCTGGGAGAGACACGCACCCCGCTATTGCACAAATCGGGGTCTCCCAGAATGAAAGACTAAGACCCTCATGGACTCGCTCATCCTCCCTAAAACACCATGAGAATCTCAGAACGCTTCTGTGACGGCAACCACACTGACAGCTCCTCGGGCCTGGCTGCGGTCCCTGGGCAAGGGCGTCCCTGGGACCGCGCTCCGGCTCGTTTACCTTGTACGCTGTGCACACAGCCGAGGGCATAGCTGAGGGCATCCAGGGTGCTCGGTTCACGGTGTCTCCCCGACGGGAAGTATTTCTTCATTTCTCGGACAACCATGATCAGTTCTTCAGAAACTCTGTCCCGGTCTTGCTGTTCGCTGTAAGATCAAAACAAACTCACGCTTCCCATTTCAGCAACAGCCAAACTTTTACTGAACAGCCTGTTACGTGCCAAGCAACTTTCTAAGCGCTTAGCGTGGAGCAAGTCTGAGTCCACAGGTTTATCTGTCTTACAGGTGGGGCAATGCCAGCCACGGAACCTGGGAACACGGCCACACATGGCCCACTCCCCTTCCCACCCCAGCCTCCACTCAGCCAAACTCCTGAACCCCTCCTCATCTACTTCTCCGGTCATTTACTTGCTTCCCAGAGCATTTCATTCCAGGTTCCCCGAGTTCCCGTCCTAAACTTGCTCCTAGCTTTGCTTACAAACAAAACAAAAAGACCTACACACCCTCCAGTCCCTTTTACAACAGGCGGGCGAGGAAAAACAAACCAGCCAGGTTGTAAGTATCACCTGTGGCGGCTCTCCAGGTATTTGCTGGGAAGCTGGTATTTCTGGCTCCGCCTTTCATCAGAGTCTTTCCCCGGGGCCGCGGGGCGGGGGCGGGGGCGGCTGGCCCGGGGTCCTGCAAGGTCATCAGGGGGTTGGGTGCCGCTGGCCCCGCGTCCTGCAAGGTCATCCGGTTCAGCCCCCCCGGAGTCAGGAGACTGACTGCTGGACATTCTTAGGTCTTCGCGGCAGTCTCAGCCTGTTGCCTGCTTCTTTCCTAGTTTGTAACCAGCGACAGAAATTTACTGCTCACTCTGGTCCTTGCGCCCTTGCTAGAGGGAAAACATCGGCCAACACGAATGGGCGATTACTGATCTCGGGTCATCGGGAGGCGGTTCTCTCCAGTGTTTCCACACAATCCTGGGTGTCTCCGCTCACGGGAGGTCCAGCCTGGGGGTGGGGTGGGGTGGGGGGAGAGAAAAGTGACCCATGTTAAGCGAAACGGGCCACTGGACGCGGGAGACCGGCTATGGCTCGCCGGCTGGGAGCCCTGGAGGGGACCCTCGGCCCCGGCGGCCGCAAAGCCTGACGCGGGTTCACCACTTGCCCGCCGCAGCCCTGCAGAGCCGGCGCGCGCCAGAAAGGGGACCCGGTGAGGCGCGGGCGGGCAGCTTCACGTACAAAGTTTCGGGGACCCCAAGTTCGCGGGCGGTGCTGCCGGACCGCGGTCCCAGCCTGGACGGCAGGCTCGGGACAACCTGCGGCCGGACCCCAGCACTCACCCGCCGCCGTCTGCGTGGCCGCGCGCGGGCCCCAATGCCGTGCTGGCCCAGCCCCGCGGGGCCGCGGAGTCCCGAGGCCAGCCGCGTGCAGCGGGTCCCAGGCGCCGCGCCCCCCGCACGCCACGTGATGAGGCCCCGCCCCCTGACCGCGCGATTGGCCGCCGCGGCGGGCTCTGCGGGCTCCCATTGGTCCAGGGGCGGGGCCCGGACGGCGGCGCCCAGGTTACGTAACCCGAGGGGAGTGGGCGGGGGCGAAGGCCCCCAGAGCGCCTTTCGTCACGCGGTTGGGCGGAAGGCTGGCCAATCCCGACAGGCTGGCGGGGAAGCAGGGGGCGGGGCCCTGGAGGAAGACGGTGCATGTAAAGGGCGCGCCTCCCGGAAAGGGGGGCGTGGAGACGCCCGTTTAAAGTACCGGAGGCTGAGGGTGCAGCCGCTCATCCGAGATGGAGGGCACCGTGCAGACCTGCACGCCAGGGCCTGTCCATCAGAAATCTTCAGTGTTTGTCGGGTGAACGAAAGGAATTGCATAGGAAGGGAAGTGTGCCCGTGGTTCATGCCGTGTGTTGGATAAACCATCTTATTTTTCCAAATGATGGCAGATCGCACTCGCCTCTGAAGCTCTTTCGTCAGACTGCATTCATTCAAGTATTTATTGAATGCATATCTGGGTAGGGATGAGTGTGGCCCCTGGGCGGGGAGAGCGTTGTGGCCACTCAGGGAGTCCACATGTTATTGAAATAAAACATATGAACAACTCCATAAAGTTCAGGAGGTGGCAGGTGCTGTGCAGAACATGAAACAAGCTTGCAGCGGTTCTCAACCTGTGGGTCGCGACCCCTTTGGCGGTCGAACGACCCTTTCACAGGGGTTGCCTAAGACCATCCTGAATATCAGATATTTACATTACAATTCATAAGAGTAGCAAAATTAGTTATGAAGTAGCAACAAAAATAATTTTATGGTTGGGGGTCACAACATGAGGAACTGTTTTAAAGGGCCAAGAAGGTTGAGAACCACTGGATAAGGTGTAACTAGGACAGGCCTGGGGGTGAAGGCAGCAAGAGGCACATTAGCAGGGGATCCGGGAGGCCTCCGAGAAGGTGAAATTGAAACCTGGGTGTGTGAAGGGGGTGGGGAAGGCCCTGCCATAGAGCAGGTTTGCTGGTGAGAAACCGAAAGGCAGGATACTTTGCCTGGAGAACAGGGAGGGGGAGGATGGTGCCAGTTGGGGTCAGAAGTGAGGAAGGGCCAGACTACAGTGGGCCTTATCATTAGGGAAACTTGGATTTCTTTCTAATGGTAGTGGAAAGGGGCAGGCTTTAAGCAAGACAGTGATTGTATCAGACTGCTGCACAGGAAATAGTTCAAAGTTGGGAGGCCTTGATTCCAAGAAGATACATTTGGGGGCACAGAGCCCTGTGGATGGAATGAGAAGAGAGCAGCAAGGTGACTCCTGAGTCTGGTTTAAGCAGAGCCATTTGTGATGGGACATAAACTTAGAGAGAAGACTGAGAGTTACGTTTTCACGTTGTGTTTGAGAAGTAGAGTTGTCAGGTAGCCATTGGATTTCTCAGCCATTCTCTGGGTGGACATCGACTAGAGGCCCGGTGCACAAATTTGTGCACAGGCAGGGTCCAGCCAGCCCACTCCAATTGGGGCTGCAGTGGCGAGGGGCACAGGAGGTCAGCGGGCTGGCCCCGCCCCCCGATCGGGGTGGGGTGGGGCCGATGGGGGGCCAGGCTGGCTGGCGGGGAGGGGCCGCAGGCAGCTGGGGGGCCAATCGGGGCCGCAGTGCTTTTCAAAGCAGGCGGTCGTCCCGGGGTTCCGGTCACTTGGCCTTTATATATACAGATAGAAGAGGAGTGGGAGGCAGGGGAAATACTTAATGCTGTTAGGTTCATATTGAGTTGGGAGGCCTATGTCTAACTGGCCAGGCATCAGTAGGTTCATGACAGAAACATGGGAATAGATGACGGAGCGTGAGTGGAATGAAAGACAAGTTGGCTGAGCACCCTGTCCCAAGGAACCCTGACATTTAAGGGAGGGCAGAGAAAGAGGAGCCTATACATGGTAGATTTCCTTCAAAATCTTGAAAATGGCACCGAAGTTCTACAGATTTCATGATAAGAAGGACCTGAAGAAGAGGCACAATTCTTTTCCAGGACAATAGTAGGTCGGACAAGAAAAGGAGTGCTCATCTGTCCAAGGCAGTGGGGAAAGTCCACCCCTTCTCTCCCAATAGGATGCCATGGAAATGGACATTTTACTGAAAACCTAAGTCTACTTCCACCGCATGATATGGCTCCCCAGGGGCTGCTGAGTAAGAGACCATGTTCAAGGGGAAAGAGAAGCAGAATCAGAACAGGAACTACGTGTCTGAAGTGTCCCTCACCTCCCAAACGATACCCCCCCGTCCCAGGCAGGCAGCGGCCTGCTGTCCCACACGCAGGCAGTCTCACAGCACCTTGAAAGACCACATACTTAAGAATTCAGAAGCCAAATGCTGACGATTCGGTGTCCATGAGAAAGCCAGTCCCTCCCCCGTCTCCTAGACTGAAAAGCACTCTGCACAAGAGGGTAGTTTGCTCTGTTCACTGGCGGAGGGGGAACGCTGGGTAACAGGAAGTTGGGGAACTCAGGGAGGGACCGGCGTGTAGGGGATGATAGGGAGGCAGGGGCACGGCAAGGACGCCATTTTTAGGACTTGGCCAGGCACAGCTCCTCCTCTATAAGCAACACAGGACCAGAATGATGTTGATAAACACTTTATTGAAGTCATTACAGTGGGCAGTTCCCAGCTACATGCAGGCATGAGCGAGGCATCCTGGGTTAATGCAGGAGCCGGTGGGTTACATGGGGCTGAGCACAGGCCAAGGAGAGAGCACCAGTTTCCACGTCAGACGCGGCCAGAGACCCTGAGCCGAGGGGGCGGACGTTCCTACACTGACGGCTGCTTCCTCCTCACAGCCGGCGGGTTCTCACTCATGTCAGCGCCGTAGGGGACAGATGCCAAAGGAACGGACCCGTGTCCTGGCGGACTCGGCTGCCTGCTCTGCAAGCCCGGGCTAGCGTGTGAGCGCCCCAGGACGCAGGCGGAGTGTAAACCTCTGCTTCTCCCTCGGGGCCTCCTTGCCTGTCTTCATTCCTACCTGACTGCCCGCCCTGAGCCGCACAGCCTGATGCTGACAGTCTCCACAGAATTCTCTCAGGGGACAAAGCAGCATCTGTGCAGACAGTCTACGTCTATGACAGCGAAGACAGACAGTGTCTCGGTCAGCTCTCTCTGTGAGAAGTCAGCCACCCTGACCAACGCTAACCGGCAGCTAATGTCGGAGACAGATTCAGGAAGGGGAATATGAACAAACATGGAAACAAACTCCAAAAAGCTATAGGCTGTGAGGCCTGGGCCAACTCATGACCAGTTCACAGAGGGTCTTCCTTGAAGGCTACATACAACGCTGTTGCTCACATCATTCTCAGAGACACACGGAGCCCACGGCTGTATTCTGCCATCTGTCTCTAGGTGCGAGAGGGTCGGGGTCTAGCTGGAACCTTCTTTAACCCCAGGAAACGCGCTGACTAGGAAGGGGAGTTGTAACACCTGCAGGGTTTTAAGGCAAGAAAGGCCTGAGGATGTAGAAGCTTCACAAGCAATATTACAACTTGAATTCTGAAGGCACCTGGCATTCCATTGGTCACTTTCTGGATTTATGTCAGGAGCAGACTCAAGGGCATTTTACTGGATTTAACTTTTTGGCAAAATAGGAACTTTGGTCATAGCCATAGTTCTATCAAAATGTTTTTAAGAGGTTATTTCTGATTAAAATATTTAAAAAATATGATACAAAACAGTAACAAGAACGTAAACATCTTCGTATCTAATGTAAGAACAACAATTCTTTACCAGCATCTTATTTTAAACACAGTGAGAACATCAGTAGTGCTTTTAAACAGCAGAGGTTCTCGCACAAGGAACCAGAAAAGGAGCAAATAAGGCACAACCTGCCGTGGTCACAGATTTGAGGGACAGTAGTGTTCTCTCTGGAAGGCACAGACGGGAGAGCTGATTACCCAAAGGTTTAAATGTGGTTCTGAAGACAAGGTCACGTGACGAGGACAGCTAACTTGGAAGAAAGTTCCCTAACTGGAACTAAGGGCGATCGCTAGACAGCGCGACTGCGAGGTTACGCACTCTGGGGCTCCGGAAGTCTCCCATCAGCCCTGTGAAGTGGTGAAGGCACTGTGCAAACTGCGGGCTGGGCTGACCACACTTCCGGTTTGGAGTGCATGTTAAAAAAGGGCACATTTCCTAAAAATCAAACTTTACATTAACTAGCAGAGAATAATCATTTTACACATTACAGTTTGTAAGCTTGATAAGATAGCAGGCTCTAAGTCAAAGTCTTGAAGAGGTTTCCGGAACCGCAGGCTGGAGGCTGACTGGTTCTTCATGAGGACACACTCCACACTAACGGGCAGGGAGGGGAGAGCAAGGAGACGCGTTAGCTCCGGCCCCCGTGTGAGCGGAGCGGGCGCCGGGCCGGCTCTCCCCGCGGCTCAGCCACACGTGGTGGCGGCCGGGCCAGACCGGACTGTCCAGAGGCAGGCCCGCGGGTGTGTTTGCACGGGGCTACAATGGCCACGGGCTGTTCCCCAACTGTAGGGAGTCTCATTAGCGGTAACAGTAACGATGGGAGGGTGTATTTATTTATTTATGTAACTATTATCATCATATGCCAGGTAACACCCTCAGACTTTTTGTATATGAACCAGTTTTGGCCTCATAACCAACATGTGAGGGAGGCACTCTTATTATCCCCATTTACAAACGAGGAGACTCAAGTTCAGAGACACTAAAATACTTGCCACAGCCACGCAGGTGGATGGCGGTGGAGCTAGGATGGCCCGTGCTGTGAACTGCTAGACTACACTGCTTCTCACAGAAGGCGGTCTCAGATGGAAATATATCCAGAGAGAACACGGGTAGGCCAGTGGGAACGCATACATTTTCTCGAGTTTCAAGGCATTCATGTTTACATACAATACCTCAGACTTCCATCATACAACTCTCGTGTTTAAGACATTTACTGAAGAGAACGAGAATCTGTGGACTAAACTGCCACGGACGTGAAGTCAGCAGCTCCGCTGAGCTGAGACAGAACTCACCGATGATGATGATGATGATGATGACCACCACGGTGATGCCTATGGCCCACATCTGCAACGAAAGGTCCAGGTCACATTCCCCGAAGACTACCTGACTGCAGAGCGCCCTGCCACCCTAGCCACGGAAAGGCGGTCAGGCCACGGGTCTGAGAGAGTGCCGCTGTGAACGCCTGAACGTGCTGCTCTCGGTTCGGTCAGGTTACCTACCCGCTCTTCCTCAGCCCCCCAATGGCCTGCGGCCCCTCCGCAGCACGGGTTTGTGCGTGAGTTTCCCACATCGGGAGGGGCTCCCGGGCACATGGTGTATGGGAGGTGTCACTTCCAAGCCAGGGGAGGGCAGGACACAGGGATCTGGTGGCCGCGCGTGTCTCTGACAGTCACGTAAGACCTGCAGGCGCCCTGTCCTGGGTAGCGCTGCTCTCGGCTCCTCTGCGAGCGCACTGCAGCCTCAGGGAAGCTCTTTCCACTCACCCCGCCGCCTCTCCCGGCAGCCTGTGTGCAGGGCTCCGCCGGGGGCGGGGCTGGGAAGGCTAATGTCTGTGATGGATTTTGGACACTCCTACATGCTGCTTCTTTATTTTTTAACTTTATTTTTATTGTCTACATGCTTCCCAAGCTCAGCCACAGAACGTGGCAGTCTCCTAGTTGTGGGGATAGAAAAGGGTGTACAGTCAGTGTCAACCCAAATTCCCATGGGGAGTCAAACTCACCGCCAAGATTCGTGCACCCCAGTATTTGTGGGCTCTGTCCACCCCGAGAATGCAGAGGGGACTGAACGTAAAGACGAACTGAAGAGGATTACCTTGCAGTTCTTCCACCAATATTTTCTCTTCAACTTGGCAGCACTTGTTTCAAACTGGGAAGCTCCTGCCTGCAGTGCGTCCGCGCGGTCGTCTAACTCGGAGAGCTTCTGATCTCTTTCCAGCACCTTGTCCACGTTCACTCTCATGATGTCCACCACCTGAAGGAACATGACCCCACCACGGAAGAACAAAGGTCAGCCCTTTGTTATTTTGAGCCTAACTTTCATTAAAAAGGGGGCCAGGCCTCACCATTCCATGAAATAAACACTTAGTAAACTAGAACTAGAAGGGAACTTCCTTAACAAGATAAAGGGTATTTATGGGAAAAAAACCCGCAACTACCATCCGTGCTCAATGGGCAAAAGCAAAAAGCTGCCCTGGCCGGTGGCTCAGTTGACTGGAGTGTCGTCCTGTCCCTGACACTAAAGGGGTGCTGGTTCTATCCTGTTCGGGGCATGTATGGGAGGCAACCAATCGATGTCTCTCTCTCTCTCCTCCTCCCTCTCTCCCTTCTTCTCACTCTCAAGTCAATAAACGTATCTTCAGGTAAGGATAAAACGAATGAACCAAACCCAGAAAGCTTTCCCCCTGAGAGCAGGGAACAAGAGAAGGATGCCCACACTCTCTCCTGCTGTTCACCATGGACTGGAAGTTCTGGCCAGAGCAACTGGGCAAGAAAAAGAAACAAAAGGCGTCCAAATTAAAAAGAAGAAATAAAATGAGCCGTATTTACAGATGATCCCATATGTAGAAAATCTCAAAGAATCCCCAATAGGGTTAATAAACTAATGCCGTAAAGTTCCAGGGTACAATATCAGCATCTATAAGTCAGTGTTTCCATATACTAACATTTGAAAGGAAATTAATAAAAACAATTCTGTACACAATAGCATCCAAAGAATAAAATACTCATGGATAAACTGAGCCAAGGAGCCAAAACTTGGACACTGAAAACTACGAAACACTGGAAAAAAATGAAGACCTCATTAAATGCGAAGACATCCCGTGTTCACAGAGTGGAAGACTTAGTATTGTTACGATGACAGTATTTGCCAAGATGATGCACTTATGTGCAGAGTCATCACAATCTCTGTCAAAATGTCAGTGGTCGTGGCCCTGGCTGGTAGCTCAGTCGGTTAGGTCATGATCCAGATACGCCAAGGCTGCGGGTTTGATCCCCGGTCAAGGTACGTACAGGAAACAACCAATGGATGCATGGATAGATAGAATGACAGGTTGATGTACCTCTCTCTCCCTCTACCTCCCTTCACTTTTCTCTCTAAAGTCAATAAATTTAATAAAAAGGCAATGGACTGATATAGACATTTCTACAAAGCATACATACAAATGGTCAACAAACACACGAAAAGTTCAACACCACTGGTCATTAAGGAAATGCAAATCAAAGCCACAAAGAGATACTACTTTACACTCACTAGGATGTCTATAACAACAGAAACAGGAAAACAAGTGCTGGTGAGGGGTGGAGAAATAGGAATCCTTGGATATTGCTCGTGTGCATGTAAAATGGTGCCGCTGCTGTGGAAAAGTTTGCTGGTTCCTCAAAGCTAAACACAGAACTACCATATGACCCAGCAACTCCATTCCTAGATACATACCCAAGAGAAAGAACAACATATGCACACACAGAAACGTGTATGCAAATGTTTACAGCAGCAGAACTGGTAAAGCCAAAAGGTGAACAACTGAAAAATCCATCAACGGATGAATGGATAAACAAGGTATACGCATGCAATGGGATATTACTCAGCCATAAAAAGGAACAAGGTGCTGACATTTGTTACAATTTGGATGAGCATCAAAAATATTGTACCAAGTGAAAGAAACCAAACACAAAAGGCCACCTAGTGTGTGATTCCTTTTGTGTGATAGATCCAGAATGAGAGCATTCATAGCAGCAGAAGCCAGTTAGAATGGGAGAGAACAGCAGAAAGAGGGGCGTGAGTAACTACTAAATGTGTACAAGGTGTTCTGTGGTGATGACAAAAAAAAAATTGTGAAACCAGACAGAAGTAATGGTTGCACAACACTGTGACTATGACAAAGAACCACTGAGCTGTACGCTTTCAAATGGTTAATTATGTTGTGTGAATTTCACCTGGACTAAAGAAACAAACACCTCTCCTGAAATTCCTTTGGTTAAGAAAAGGGACCCAATTTGATTTTGTAAGTAAACAAAAGTTTCATGCAAGATGGAATGAGAATGGGTTTCTTAGCATGAAAATACAAAATTTTCAGAAGTTCATAAAGCCATCATATAAAAATATTACCATATGCTTTAGCAATCCAAAGTTTTACTTTTATATTTTTCTTACATTTATTGGGGTGAACTGGTTAATAAGATCATGTAAGTTTCCAGTGTACATTTCAAGGATACATGATCTGTATGCTGCATGCATGCCCACCACATCTTCCATCACCATGTACTAGTGTGTGGCCCCTGGTTTAACAGAAGTTGAATGCTGCTTTCTAAGGGCAGCTACATGCAGAAAGGCCAAGATATCCTTGTTGGACAATGATTGCTTTTAGGGACAGGGAAATAGTAGTTTGAATTTGCCAATCTTCTGTTGTGGGTCTGCAAACATAGGGCAGAACAAAGATGCTGTGAGCACCCTCTAACTCAAGAATTCCACAAACGCAGATTTGTGGGGCTAGAGCACTGTGCCAGCATCTGCCTTCTGCATGTCAATGGCACCAACTGGAGTTGATGCTAGAGGCCTGCTCAGGCCGAGTAATACAAAGTCAGGCTACTGGAACAGCATTTTGATGAAAATCTGATCAGAAGGGTTGGTCTTGGCTTGAACAACCTATAGATCTAATTCTGAATATTCGATTACCCTATTTTATAAAGTAGTTCTCTTTTTTCCAAATTTTTTTTTTATTATTGTGGAAAATATACATTATAAGGCAGTTCTGGGAGGAATGCCCTCAGGGAGGGGCATTTGTTTCAGGAAAACAAGCAGGAAGCAGGAGAATCTGACTTCTGCTTAGATCACGGCTCCCAGAATAGCAGGGGCGAAACTGTGTTACTTTTATGATATGGTCAGAATTGACTTTACGTTCACCCTTCTGTGCCACTCTTCCTAAATAATTATTTCCAGAGTGTTCCCATGTTGACTGAAAATTCATCTTTTCAGCTTTTCAGAGCAGTACCTCATCCACTTGGTTCTGTGTCTGCTGAAGTTTGCGGTTACTGCCGGAGGCAGCGCTTGGACCTGCAGGCGCACCCGTAGACCTGAAACACGCAAAGACACGGGCGTCAGTCGAGGAGCATTCCAAATACATTTCTGTACGTACGAAGTCCTTCCAGTAACTTCGGAACTACAGCAGAAAACGAATAACGAACAACGGTTCTAATGACATTTCTCCTAACTCCTCTGGAATTTCCAACATTCATCCACACGTGACAGGTGACCAGGGTCTAAGGCAGTAATGGTGAACCTATGACACGTGTGTCAGAGGTGACACGCGAACTCATTTTTTTGGTTGATTTTTCTTTGTTAAATGGCATTTAAATATATAAAATAAATATCAAAAATATAAGTCTTAGTTTTACTATGGTTGCAAATATCAAAATATTTCTCTATGTCCTTGTTAAAAAGTATTCTGGGTCATTTCCAATTTCTGAGCCACCAGGATCCGAGTCTTTCTGCTGTTTGTCAAGTTTTGTTTTTCTGCATCTAGTATAACATTTACATACCAGGAACAAAAGTAACAATAACAAACCAGTAACATTGATTAGGCACAGCAAATGCCTATTATGAGATAAGGAAAAGTCTAAGGGGATCGGATCTCCGACGTAACCCGAGGACCTACTGTGTATCAAAATGGATCCTAAAGGCTCACAGGCCCCTGTGTCTCAGAGGTCTTCCCTGTTTCTAAGACAGCGCCTCGCAGGTGCCTTGCATACAGCAGCCACCGACTCACGGAGCCAGCAGGCAGTGCTCTACCGCGTGTCAAAGGCCAGGGAGGCAGCAGGTCCCACTCGGCCTCCGCGAGGTTAGTGTCTGGGAGGCCAGTACTGGTTGCATTTTCCCATTCAGTCCTCATAACTCGTTGAGGGGGTACTACTATTATCCCCATTTTACAGACGGGTAAGGCGAGGCCTGGGCAGTCAGCACCGCGGGCTGGTGTGCTGAGACCAGGTGCTGTGTAATCCCACGGACCCGGACCTTCACCACTGGGGTCTCCGGGCCCAGCGGCCCCGGCAGCCACCCTGCAGAGTGGGGTCCCTAGTTCCTGGAAGGAGCCCGGGAAAGAACGCTTCCCTTCGCTGCTCTCGGTGGGCCATGAGCAGGCTGGAGAGGGAGCAGGGTTCGTGGCTCCAGTGTCTGCACGCTGCCCCGGGACGCCCGAGTGCACTCTGACCGTGGGCGCCTGGAGACAGGACAGGCCCTTCCCTGGCAACTTCCGGAGCCCAGCCCTGCAGCAGCCCGGCAGAGACCAGCGCCCCTTCGGGGACCCGGGCAGTGTGGGGCGGGTTGGGGGGGTTAGACGCGGGCGCGGCGAAGGGGCGGGGACGGAGGCGGGGCGGGCACTCCTAATCTGGAAAGCCCCCGGCCCCGCCCTGGTCCCTTCCGGGTCCCCCCGACAGCCGCTGGGCGGTCGGCGGCGCCGCGGGGTCGTTCCGCCCGTCTGCAGCCCGCACTCCCGGGGCCGCGCCCCACCCCGGCCTCGGAAGCCTCGCACAGGCTCGCACGGCCTCGGCCCGCGTCCGAAAGGCCGCCACCGGGAACCGGGCCAGGCGGGGCTCCCAGTCGCGGGCCGCCGCCCCCCGGGACCCGCAGCCGTCCCGCTCGCACGGCGTCACTCACATTTTGGCGGCGGTGGCGGCGGGCGAGTGTCGACGGAGCGGCGGAACGGGACCGGAGGCCAGGACCTGGGCGGAGCGGTGGCGGCGCAGGGGCCGATGACGTCACAGGGCGGGGCCGGATGGGCGGACGAGGCGCGCAGGCCGCGGTGGGCGTGTCGGAGGGGCGGGGCCGGTGGGAGGGCGGGGCGCGCAGGCCGCGGTGGGCGTGTCGGAGGGGCGGGGCCGGTGGGAGGGCGGGGCGCGCAGGCCGCGGTGGGCGTGTCGGGGCGGAGCGCTGGGGGCGGGGCCACAAGGGGGCGCTGGGGGCCGGTATCTGCCAGCCGAGCGCGGGTGGGTTAGCGCCCGCTCCTGTCCCAGGCGCCCGCCGCCCGCCGCCCGTGCGGACCTGGGGGACGTGGTGCATTACCCACAGGAGAGGGACTGCAGGTAAACCAGGTGGGCCGCCTCTCGGGCGGTGGCTACGTTGGAGACATCTGTGTGTTCCTGTTCCCCACATTAACCTAGCAGACCCCACATTTTCCCAAGAAACCTGTTAAAATGGGGTATGCAGTCCATTTGGGGCATTTATCAGACATTGATTCGTTTGGGTTCGCTGTCTTCGTATTCGTGACGGGAATAAGTATTTGTCATTGCTCATAAGGGACTGCAGTTTCTACACTGCATATTCCTGGGTCCCTAGCACAGAGTAGGTCTCCAACTTTTGATCCTATGGAGGCGGAGGCACATAGCTGAACGCAGAGGGTTACTTGGCAGCGTTTTCACGTTGTAACAAAGTATCCCTACCAACATAGGCAACTCCTGCCCTAAAAACAAACAAAACACTAATAGGTCATGTGGCAAGTTAGATGAGACCCGGAAAATAAACACTAACCTGTCTTTTCCAACTGTAAATGGAACAATTTGAAAAGTGAAATGTTAGTATATATTAGAATAGACAAGAGAGCGTCACAGAGGAGGTGGGATTTGAGACTTTCCCACCAAAGGATGAACAAAGGCCACGAACAAAGAAAACAGTGGAAATGGCCCAGACCAACCAGAGGGAGCAGGTTGGGGCACAGGTGAACATAAGATGGAATGAAGGCTGGACAGACATGTCGTTTAAATGCAGTGGCTGCAGAAACCATCGAGGCCCCAGGCACAGCGTGCAATCTGTCTGGCAGTGGCGTTGAGTCGGATGAGATGGGGAGAGACCACCAGGGAGGTGAGGCTCTGCCAGAGGAGTCAGCTGGACAGTGCCTTTTAACAGACTTCAGAGGATTTTGACGGAAAAGGTGAATTTATTTATGGATCTTTATATTTTTGTTGATTTCAGAGAGGAAGGGAGAGGGAGAGATGGAAACATCAATGATGGGACTCATTGGTCGGCTGCTTCCTGCACGCCCCACACTGGAGATGGAGCCTGCAACCTGGGCACGTGCCCTGACCGGGATTCGAACCGTGGCCTCCTGGTTGATAGGTCGGGCCTGAAAAGGTAAATGTAGCCTGGTGTCTTTACCATTCAAATAACTGCACTGGGGCAAATGATACATTGAGTGGTGCCTGAGAACATAGTTGAAAGTGTTCTGGAAACCGTGGATCTACTATGAAATTTTTCCCATCGTGGACATATTTGAAACCATGTAACATTCAATGTCAAAACGTCACATCTGGGTCTAAGGAAGTACTTGAAATTATTTCACATGGTTTGAAACATGCCCATCCAACTTGGATTGCAGTATTAGGTAAAGTTAAAGCAACACACACACACACATAATATGGGGAAATTTTTTTCATTTTTAATTTACAGCAGAAAGAATATAAAGCATTCAGAAAACATTTTCCATATTTTTAAGGGCAATTCAAAACATTTTGCATGGTTTCCAGCAGCTGAGTTCTTCAACAGATCCATTGATTCAATGATGCTTTACATGCACAATTACAAAAATAAAACTTACAAAAAAGAAGACATCTAGACTAGTTTTACATGCAAGTCTCAGGGACCCCCCATTGGGCGCCAACTACTGTGTGGAACTGCCATAAGCGACCGTGCAGCCAGAAAGGGGTTCGAGTTAGTGTCTTTATTTCGTTCACACAGTACAGCTGATTTCAGATGGGTAACAAGAATAGCAATGAAATCTTCAGGAGACAGAATAAGATTAGCTATTAACTTTTATAATGAAATCTACTCCTGGCACTTGGGAATTCAGATTATCCAAGAAAGCTGCGCGTATCTATCATCTTATATTCAAAATTAAGATTCATAACCGAGGAAAAGCGGTCAGAAGTGCTTCGTGTCGGTGGGAGCGTACTGGTACCTCCCCTAGGATTCACAGTTGTACTGCTACTTCCTGTCCCCTCCGCGAGAACCCTCCCAATTCTACATCAGTCTTTCTCTTCCCGAATTGTCTAACTCACTCAGCGAATAATGTAGCATGTGGAACATGAACAAAATAAGTGTGAGGGTTAAAGCAAACCCACTGAGGTCATTACTCTTGTCAAAAGATCAGTTATTTGTACCAGAATAAATGGAATAAACATCTAAATTCGGCATTAAGACAGGATATTCTGAGAGAGCTGGCTTTCACGTTCTATTCCCACTTAGGAATGCAATTGTGTGTGTGTGTGTGTGTGTGTGTGTGTGTAAATGACTGTGTCCTCCTGTAGGTTAAACTGTAAAATAAAAGGGATCGTGGGTGGGGTGTGGGGGGGACTGCAACAGCTGTAACATAACCCACACATTTAAAATAACAAAATTGAGTCAGCTCAGTTTACAAATGTACAGATGGCTACTAGTTGTGGGGCTGTCACTGTGGTCGAAGCTGATCACAAGCAGTAAGACGTATACTGTACAGTAATTTGAGGTTGGCAGTGAAAGGAATTAAAAAACAAGTACAATTATAGAAAAGGCACCAAGAGCACTGACCCCAGTGTTTACCTCGATCCTGTTGTGTCTACCTTCCTTCTGAAAAGACACCAGTTTAAAAGCTTATTTGTGAATATTTTTAGGCTTCACAATGAGCCTTGAGTTTGAACTTACAGTTGGCAGCCAGAACCAAGAAGAAAACACACACACACACACTATGATTTCAGCTTTACACCAACTGGTCCTGAAACGTAACCTGGGAATTTTTAAACTGGCATCGGCAGATGCGAACTGGATTCTCCTCGATTGGACGTTAGTAGTTGAATGTTTAAAAGCATCAGATTTCTTTGGCTCCTCGTTCTGTGAAAATAGTTATGTGCCGTGACATCCCTACAAGACCAGTCTGCATCTCTTAAAGTTTTAGTTATTTCTTTTGTGTGCAGTTTTTTAAATGACATGTTCTGATTTCCAGCAGGAGATATGAAAACGTGAGACATTTTTCTACCTTTCGCACTATTTCTTTTGTCAGGGTTTGGTCGTCCTAAGTATTCTTCGTTGGAGCGAGTGGATGGTATTAAGCTGTTTTACGGATTCATCTTATGATTATCTGTTTAGCAAAAGGAACTTAATTTTCTTAAGCAATATTAGCATTCACATTACTTGGCACCATTGGCAAATTTTTTTTTTTAAATAAAATAAAATAAACTCCTGGTAGCCAAAATTAAATGTAAACATATCCTTTTTTTAAGTAATGTTACTCTGCCTTTTCTCCTAAGTCTAAATACAGTAGCTCTTTTTTTATTTTTATTTTATTTGCAGTTTAGTCATGCTTTAGCAAAATGTTCTTCTAAAGAACATTTAAAATAAAGTACTCTTATAGTGAAATAAAGTTTTTTTTTGTTTCATTTTACAGACCATAGCCACTAATGCTTTGCTTGTGTTCATTTCTTTTTTCTTGATTTCATGCACATATCTCTTTGTTTTAATATATACAATATATACAAACAATACATCCACATTTTTCTTGCTCATTCAGACAAAACTATACAAATAATTTTATCTTGCCATGTTATTGACCTTTGTGAATAAAATATTTAGCAATTAATATAATCCCTTTCAAATATTTCTCACTTTCCATCTCTACCTTCTATATATACACAGAAACTGCTCTGTTTGGATGAGATATAGCCAAAAATATGGAATTTACTGGCCAGAACGCAGCACCACGCTGATCTTTTAGGTGGCAAATGTCCAGGCAAGGTTTATGATTCCTCAGAATGACTACACTTCCCAGGGTTACTGGAGAAAGCTACATGCTCTACCGATTCTCTTAAGTAACCCCCATTGCACATGAAAGTAAGGCAAAAAATTAAAGTGCTGAACATGAGAAAAGGGACACGATGAGTCCTCGCAGGTTCCTGGGGGGGGGTGGGACAAGAAAATAAATCTTCACTCTGGAAGCGGTTTCTCCTCAGTTCCCATGCATTACCCGTTTGCCACGCCCGCCCCTCTGCAAATTTCCACAAGACATTAAAAACCTGCAGATTTTTTAAAAAGTTGCATTAAGTGTGCTGTCGAGGTTAAAACAAGAACAAACGGAACAGTGAAGGAAATGAGAACGCACGGACGCAATAAAGATTGGGGTGATCTAAGCCCTCCGCTGACAACGAATCCCGAAGATTCAGCCTCTTGGAAGCCACTGGCAGGTGCGGGAGCAGCGTTCTCGTGTTGCCAGCGCATCCCCACCACTTCTTCCCTATATTTTTGGTATAAATATTTGTACAGTTCCACGCGATGTTTGAGTACAGCCCTATGTGAGCAGGAAAGCGGCCGCTTCCCCAGGGGGAGCCTCTTTCCCTTCCTCGCGGCATCTGGTTTTCCCGCGACCCAACAGAAGGTTGAGTTCCATGATGTCTCGCTGATCAAATTAAAAGTTGTCCATGAAAGTGCAAATGCAATGAACAAAACATTCCTGTTAAAATCCTGCAGCTGATCTCTCCAAAACTGCAGAGGGATTGTGTGTGTGTGTGTGCGTGTGTGTGTGCGCGCGCGCTTGTGTGTTGTTGCATGTCTCTGCTAAAAACAGAAATGAAAACAGTCTGAAAAGCAATGTCACATTGCTAAGGGATGCTGCTGTATGTCTTCAAGTTCCTTGGCCTTTTTCAATTCTTTCACTCTGCAAGAGAAACAAAACAGAACACCAGGTGGTAACTATAGGGTGAAACTGACCAAACCCAGGAAAGGGCATTCCCATTCCCTCTCAAGTAAAAA